TCAGGGCATGATCTGACAGAAGGAAGGGATGGCAAAGGGGAAAACAGTTATGCCTGTAACCAGATACAGGGAATTACATTGAAACACAAAGACACTCAAAAATTAAATTAAATAACACAGAAAACTTGCAAAACCCAGGAGCAAAAACAAGTTCTCCCCAGGCAGTAGAGACAGGACTGAAGTTACGGTGCAGATCCATCCACCCCATCACAAAGGTAAAAGGGATCTAAAGACAACTGCACTGAAAACCCAAGAAATATTGCTTGTCCAAAAAAATGAATAGGGAGGATGCCCAATCCTGACATGGGTTTGCACAGAGCTTCCCAGTTGCTTGGCACAACCTCGAGTTTCCTTCACTTAGAACTGTCTTTTTGCCAACAACGGATTAGGATGTGCTGTTGGATGAACCAAGTGCCCAAGTTCCCTCTGCAGGGAAGGGCACTGAAGCTCTGTGCAGCATCAAATAAAATGCAAAAATAAAAACGAAAAACATTGAAACTGTGCAAAATAAAAATGTCATGCTCATCTATGAGGCAATCACAGAGCCTTAAGAAACAGCTCTTTTGGATGGCAGCAACCAACAGACCAAATTACAGTAAGTGCTGTAAGATATACTTCAACACTGTAAGTCCCAAAATAGCATTTACTGTCACGCAGTCTTCAGTTACACATAAATGTCCACTTGAAAGGTCTTTCCAAAATCCCTTCATGAATTGCAGCTGGTTACTCAAGCAATTTCATCATGAAGTCTCTATTATGATCAACACTGCAAAGCACAACTTTTTCCTTTCTAAAATAACACTGGTATTAGGAGAATCCTTTGTCACAGATCTAGCACTAATGTTAGTACGTATCTAGGCCAATGACTTCTAGAAACCCAAAAGAGATGCCAAGAATTAAAGACCTGGAAAAAAAAAAGAAAAAGAAAAAGGGAATTCACTTCTACACATCTCAAGACACAGATTCTGTTGATGTTTATTCTAAAAGTCACACTCTCTTCTGTAATGTAGGTATTTCTTTATAATACCTACACGTCCTTAACACATAAAAGGCCATACTCAGTTGTTCTTCCCTGCATCTCATTTTAACTTTAGTATTTATGTGTTCACACCTCAACACAACCTCCTTAACCCTTACACGGATCACAAAGCAAAGCACTGGTGTAAAGCACATCATAAGGTCACAATACCATTTGTATACTATTCCCAGCCTGCACACCGTTTTGCATTTCAACAACACAGCTGTAAGGTGGCAACTGAAAGACTCAATCAGGAAAAATAGCACACGTATCTGGGAAGGACAGCAAAACCCTAAAATAGCAATAAAAAGTTGGCAGTGTAAGGATGTCCTGCAAATCCTACCAGCAGCAGTCCACAGTTTTCTTAACAGATTCCAAACCAGGGCACAGAGATGACTTTTACAACTTTTGTGTGGAAAACAAGATGGAATTCTCAGGTGACCGAGTCATAGGAACACCACTCAAAAAAGGGCGAGAGGTCATTAAATGTCTAACATTTGTGGGGGAACGCTTTGTAATCAGCATCCAAACCTATCCAGAAAAAGGAAAAACTAGGATACGTCATTCATTCAAAACAGAGGGACTGTACAAAATGAATCCTACGGGCAAGTTGATATAGGAAAAACCCTCTCAAAGAAAGGAAGGATTATACATAGTTGCTAACTCTACAACAGCTAGAAAAGGAAGAATTAAAGTGGGTACTTTGATGAGAACTGAAGGCAGACGTAAGCACAAAACGCAACAGAAGTATAGTAAAGAGGTACAGAACATAGCTAAGAATAAGGAACAACAAAAATCTACGTTTTACTTTTCTTTGCTGAATATGTAGAGATGTCATTCAGGAAAAGCAACAGGGAAACAAGGAAAAACAGCAGGAGAAATCAGAGAGCAATAGAAACCTTAACCAACTGCACTTGCTTCCACAAATGAAAACGGAGGAGTGAAATTCAAAACTGTTTGTGAGTGTTACAAAAAGGAGAAGAAGTAGAGACTGCATATGCCTGAGGCCACAAAGAAATCAACTATGGAAAAAGCTTTGAGTCATACAGCACTTAACCAAAAATATCATAAGGAACATTGTTAAAAGGCAGGTTTCAAAAACACATGGAAGCCAACTCCCTGCAGCAAAACTGTCAGGTCTAAGGACATATGTGAGACATCTCCAGAAATCTGGTCTGCCATAAACTAGACTGAAATGACCAAAACAATACAATCTTAACTATAAAATAATTGCATAAAATAACTACAGAATCCCTACGTCCATGAAGACAATTACATTTTCCAGGAACCCTGACTAAAACAAAAGAACAAAATTAGGATACGATTTCCCATACATTTTGCTACATGTTTTCCTGAGGTATATAAAAGCATTCAAGCTGATTTCCTAAAAGATACAGTATCAGTATACCTTACCATTCTCGACACCAAAGGGGTATTAATACTGAAGGGTAGGCCACTCAAGTCAAATATACATAGGTCTCTATGAAAATAATACCTCCCATTTGTTTCCATGGAAACTACAACAGAAACAAAGAGCACAAGAACTCTATATGATAGAGCAAATTCTCAGTACAAAACACTACTTTTCAACATAGGTACCACCATGAGCTACACGTTTTTGCCAGCAATAAATAAAGACCTGCATGCTACACTCATGAAAATCTGCACCAGTGGAAGTGAGCCTCTGTTTCACAGCTGCTATGACAGTGTAGTTCCTGGGAAAATGTTGCCCATACAGTCCATCTTCCATTGGCCTAAACAGATGGAAGTCAGAAGAAGCCATATCCAGACTATACTGCGAGTATTGTAGGAAAGTTAGGGATAGAATGGCAACGAGCTCCACGATCTTCCAACTGGTACGAGGCTGGGTGTTATGGTGTTGCAAGAGAAAAATTGTTTTCTTTCCTGGCCTGACTGCAAGTTTGAAGCTTCAGCTTAGTCAGTGTTGCGATGAAGCAGTCAGAGTTGAAGGTTTGTCCGGGTTTCAGGAGATCCAGAAGGATTACCCTTTTCCCATCCTAAAAGACAACGTGCATCACCTTACCCGCTAAGGGCTGCGTCCTGTTAAATTCCCATTGAAAAAGCTCATGTCACCACTCCATGGTCTGCCATTTTAACTCTGGTTCTCAGTGTTGACACCACGTCCCACCAGTGGTAACGATTCGATACGGAAACTGTCATCTCATACTGGTTCAAAAGGTCCTGACAAACTTGCATATGCTGTTCTTTCTGTTGCTGTGTGAGAACTCATGGAACCCACCTGATACAAAATTTGTGATATTCCAGTGTTGCCACCATGATTTCCAATGCATATTCCAATCGATATTCAGCTCTGCGCACAGTTCCCTGCTTGCAATCTGTTGATTTGTGCGGATCAGCTGATTGAGATGACCTTCATTTCATGACATGACAGCTGTGCATGCATGTATGGAACATGGCTTGCCTTTCACATCACTGGCACCACCGCCAAAACGTACCATCCACTGCCTCACTGTCCTCACATCCACTGTTTGGGCTCCATAAATGTTCAATAAGCCTCAATGAATGACAGTGGGTGCCATTTTTTCTGCACAAGAATTCAATAACATCGCTTTGCTTCATATGTATTTCCATGTCAGACACCATTTAGTCAGACTGCCCCTCTGCTGCCATCTGTCACGCCGCAACAAAATGTAATGAATGGAATATTGGTGGGAAGGTTCAACCTCTACTGCCATCTTACTTACATCCACCTCTGATGCTAGATAAAACCGGAGGCATTACTTTCAAAGTCGCCTTCATATGTGAATATATTCTTACATACTCCATGTACTTTTGAAAAGTTAACTAGAATAAGGTTGTTACAAGAGACTTCAGCACATCAGAGTGAAGCAGAAAAGAATACTCCCATGAATTCCACATATAAAAATGCCACACCTCTGCCTCACACCTTTCTGATAAAAAAATAAACAAAAACAGCACTGACAACAACAAAACCAACTTACTGACATTACTGTTAACGTAAATTAGATTGGAAGTTTCTGTAAAGTGATGGGCTCCTGTGCTCTCCAGAAGGACCTGATATAACCAACCAGCGCAAAGTCTCCTCCTCAGTACCAGTGCTCTGGGCCTCTTTTCTAAGGCAGCTGACACAGTCTCTGAACCACCTGACTGATGTTGGCTAAGCAAAGGAAGAGCTCACTGCCTTACAGCCAGTCCTGCACTATGACTAGCTTTAAGGAAAGCTCTGCCATACTTCAGCTTTAAGCTTACAGTTGGTGTCTTCAAAGCCACATAATGATATCTGGCTGCAGAGCAGTTAGCACAATTCTCTTGACATCAGCCTGCTATTGTTGAGTAATGGCATACATTCAATAAATAAAAAGATGGTGTATTAACACCAAGTTTTGGTTGTGCTTAATGTTTCATTTTCACTTCTCCACAGCTGCCACCGCTCCCCTCCAGCACGCTGTGTTGCCAGAAGTTCTGCTGAGGAACAGCGTCCCGTTCGGACACGTCTGAAGGGTCTGGAGCTGCTCGTTCAGCTTCACAGCTTTAGAGGGCTGGGACACACGGCCACAGTCAAGTCCCTTGACTGTAACGCCAAGTCAAGCCGCTTTCACTGCCAACCACTAGCCGAGACAAAGAGGTCCCAAAGGCGGAAGAACAGCTCAGCGACCCTGCAGCACGGCTGACGCCCGTCCCTCCGCTCTCCATCCCTGCGCCCGGCGGCCCTTAGGGCGGGGGGAAGCCCCGGAGAGAGCCGCGGCCGTTAGAACCGTTCCCGGGCAGCCCGGGGAAGGAGGGCGGCGGCACTGGCACTCCCAGCGGAACGGGGGGGCCGCGGGCACAGCTGAGGGCGTCCCGGCCGCCCTCCTCCCCCCGTGCCCTTGGAAACGGAGACGGCGGGTCGGCGGCCCAGGAGGAACGGGGGACGCCCCGACCGCAGCCCGGGGCGGCGAGACCCGGCCGCGCCCGCTGTCCCGTCCCTCCCCCGCCTCACCTGAGTGCCCACCACCACGATCTGCGGCAGCTGGATGATGTCGGCCCCAACCGTGTTGAAGACGTCTTGCAGCTTGTTGATCACCGGGATCAGCGCCTCCATGGCGGCGGCGGCGGGCAGCCCGGCGGAGCCGGGGGAAGAGAGAAAGCCGGGGGAAGGCGTCAGCGATGAATGGGCGCGACGGGCAGCGGCTCCCGTCAGCCGCCTCCTCCGCCTGCCGCCATTGGCGCCGGCCCCCGCGCACGGCGCGGCCCCCAGCGGGCAGTGCGGGCTGAGCGCCGCGGGGCATCACGGGAGTTGTAGTGCTGGAGGGAGACCGCTCGGGCCTCCCGTCCGGGGCCGAAGGCCTTTGCGGGTCGCCCAGCGCGTCTGCTGTGGTCTCGCGTCGCAGCTCCGGCTCGGATTTTAATCTTTTCATGCAATAAAGCTGATTCTCGTCACCAGCAGCCTTGCGGCCCGCGGGCCGAGGCCCTGCCTCAGCCCACTGGAGGCAGTTCTCAGCAAGCAGCACACCCACCACGTTCATTCGGGACACTGGGCTTTGAACCGCAGAGTCGCTGAGATCGGAAGGGACCTCTGGGGATCGCATTAGTCCAACCCCGGACTAAAGAGGGTTCCCTACAGTTGGTTACACAGGAAAGCATCCAGGCAGGTTTTGAATATCTCCAGAGAAGGAGACCAGACCACAGTCTCTCTGGGCAGCCTGTTCCAGTGCTCTGTCAGCCTCAGAAAAGAAACTTTTTCTTGTGTTCACATGGAACTTCCCATGTTCCTGTTTGCATCCATTCCCCCTTCATCTGTCAGTGGGCACCGCCAAAAAGAGCCTGGCCCCAACCACTGGACACCTGCCCTTTAGATAGTCGTGAAATGTGGTAAGATCTCCCCTCAACCATTTCTTCCCCAGGCTGAACTGTTCCATGGCTTTCCACCCTTCCTCACCCAGCTGCGATCCTTCAGGCCCGCATCATCTTTGTGGACTTCCACTGGGTTCTCTTTAGGAGATCCCTGAAAACCCACAAAAAGCAGGAATGCATGCCCAACACGTGCCCAAATGCAACGAGGTGCCCAATGGGAAACAACCAAGTCAGTCAGCAGCCCACCTCACAGAGCCAAGAGAGCAGGAAAACAGTGCTGATGGGATCAGAGAAAAAGCATCAGCTGAAGGGGAGGCAAAAAACCAACAGAAGCTCAGCTCCTCTAAAATATGCAGCAGAAGGAATATTTTCCTAATCCTCTTCACATACCAAGAACTGCAGTGGGCAGTTTTAAAGATGTTACATTTCTTCTATTTGCTCTTTTGTGTATGTGTGTTTGTGTGTGTCTGTGGTATAAGTATTTTTGTTTGTGCTGTGAGTCAGCTCATCTCTTCATCTGAAATTTTTTACCTAGTATAGATAATAGAAGAGCTGGATAAGTTGTCTGCTGAGGTGTGGGGGGTGGATCACTGGGAGATCCAACACTCAGCTGCTTTGTACAAAAAGGTAGAATAAAACCAGATAATGATTTGCGATGCAAGATCACAACAAATAAAGCTGTCTGATCTTTAAAGGTCTTCCCTGAGAATGCACTGTCTCAAAACTGAATTGTGAGTAAGCTAGCACTGAATTGTAAAGCAGCTTTGTCCTCTCTTGTAAGCCAACAGAATACAAATGCTTCTCAAAATTTTAAATTCTGGATGAATTTAGAACTTGTATTTGTACGTATACAAATAAGTCTTTTCTAGTCTTCATTTCTTAAAACCCTCAAATGTTGAAAGAAACAACATACAAAAGGAATATATTTTTATTCATACATCTTTACAGCAGAGTTTTGTATTCTTACCCAGGAATTTTCATACTGCTTGCTACAGGACTGGTATTTCATGATAAAAGCAAAAAGATGGCTAAGCAGACAGTAACATTCAAAATATGAGTGTATTCAGCACAGAGAGAGATGATTAACACATGTAAAAATATATACAGAAGGATGAGAATGATCATCCTGGTGGCAAGAAGAAAGCAGGATGGGCTCTTATCATAGTCATGCAGTCACAATTATCTAGAAGGTTCAGCTTTAGGTGTGCTGAAGCCAATTGCTCTCAGAGCAATTAGGATAATTAATTACAATTTTTTGTAAGGATAATGAATACAATGTATTGCATATAAATATGTAAGTATGTGGAAATTAAACCTAGCTCTGGATGTTTCTGAGCTACTAGCGGTTGGAAGCTGGGCGAGTATCAAGCAAAAGCACTCTGTGCTTTCCCTTTAGTATGGCTGTTCTTAGAATTTAATCAGTGTAATATTTCATGAAGAACACAGTGAAAATATAATTTGCCAAAATGCGTAGAGATAACTTAACCTTCCCAGCAGAGATGTCAAAAATACCATCAGGGACACTATACCCACATGGAGAAACACAACTTAAATGGAGGAAATGAATTAATGAACAGAAGAGAAGGAAGAAGAAAGGACTAAAGAAGACATAAGATTAGGAAACACGAGAAAGAAAATCTTACCATATTGTCTATTTCTGGCTGAAAAGTGGGTTCTGGAAATACGTCTACTATAAAATGTTGTGTCTATTACCAACTTAACCAAATCCAGCAACTGTACCAAAGCAATAATCATTTTAGCAAGCAGTGGCCATCTCTAGCTTTAATTATCTAATTTCCTTAATAGACTCACATTGTACAGAGCAAGAAATTCAAAGATCAGATAAAAGGCAGTAGTAGACAGACTGTTTTTTACTAAAGGTTAATTAACATAAGAAACAGGAACTGCCACACCGAATCTGACCTGATATAAATCTATATCAGAATGTCATCTCTAAGAATGTTAAGCGCCAGCATTTCTGGGAAAACTATTAAAATACAGTAATAAGATCTTCTGATCGCAATCCTATGTACTAAATGATTTTGATTTTGTCTATACAATCTGAAGTAGACAGATCAATATGTCTTCTGTTTTATCAATGTTACTTGAAACCAGATTGTTTTATTTGCAATGTACCGTATAATATTTTTTGTGTGTGCTATCGAGTAGAATTCTTGGCTGCAGCAACATCCTGTGAGAGTAAATTTTATGACCTAATTACTGAAAAACAAACAAACAAAAAATTGGTGTCAGCTTTGAAATTCTCGTGTCCTAATTTCATTATAAGCTTGCTTGTTTTCATGTCTGAAATCAGAACAAAATTAACAAAATTTCCAGTCCTCCTTTTCCATGGTATGAATTTCCTTATACAGTTTTGCATCATCAGCTGCTTCTGGAATCTCCTTATACTGACATTCTGAGAAGGGCGGACAACTCATCTGCTATTAAGTGACTTCATGGCAGACAAGAAAACCACAAGCTGTGACAGTAAAGGTTACTTCCTTGCTGTCATATCTGTCTAGAGAAAGAAATATTTGATAACCACATTTTAAAGTTTCAGTGATCTAATGTAACATTTGCAGCTTTTGTAATCATGCAATATAGAGATTATATGGGTCCAGCAGAGCCTGATTTTTATGCGAAGTGAAATTGAATTACGTTTTTGTATCCTTCTGAGTCACTTCACCACAGCTGTAACTACATAGAACATCATGAAAGTAATGCCCCTTACTTATTTCCATGGAAACTACAACAGAAACAAAGAGCACAAAAACTCTATATGATAGAGCAAATTCTCAGTACAAAACACTACTTTTCAACATAGGTACCACCATGAGCTACACATTTTTGCCAGCAATAAATAAAGGCCTGCATGCTACACTCATGAAAATCTGTATCGGTGGAAGTGAGCCTCTGTTTCACAGCTGCTATGACAGTGTACTTGCTAGGAAAATGTTGCCCATACAGTCCATCTTCCATTGGTCCAAACAGATGGAAGTCAGAAGGTGCCAAATCTGGACTATATGGTGGATGCGGCAGGAGAGTCCAACCAAGGTTGACAATGTGATCTTCATACTGGTATGGCACCTGGCGTTATGGTGTTGCAAGGGAAAAGCTATCTTCCTTCCTGGCCTGACTCTGGAAGTTTGAGCGTTCAACTTAGTCAGTGTACTAATGTAGTAGTTCAGAGTTGATGGCTTGTATGAGTTCCAGGAAATCCAGAAGGATCACCCTTTTCCCATCCCAAAAGACAGCACACGTAATTCTACCATTTGAGTAATGCATCTTGAACTTCTGCTTTGATGGGGAATTTCCATTTTGCCAGCTCTCCATGAACTGCTGTTCTGACCGGCTCACAGTAGTGACACCGCTTTCTGTCACTGTTAGTGATATGATCCTGGAAACTGTCACCTTCAGCCTCCTATTGGTTCATATTACCCACTTGGCACAAAATTTGTAATATTCCAATGTTGATTTCCAATGCATATTCCAATCGATATTCAGCTCTGCACAGAGTTCCCTGCTTGCAATCTGTTGATTTGTGCGGATCAGCTGATTGAGACGACCTTCATTTCATGACATGACAGCTGTGCATGCATGTATGGAACATGGCTTGCCTTTCACATCGCTGTCACCACTGCCAAAACGTACCATCCACTGCCTCACTGTCCTCACATCCACTGTTTGGGCTCCATAAATGTTCAATAAGCCTCAATGAATGACAGTGGGTGCCATTTTTTCTGCACAAGAATTCAATAACATCACTTTGCTTCATATGTATTTCCATGTCAGACACCATTTAGTCAGACTGCCCCTCTGCTGCCATCTGTCACGCCGCAACAAAATGTAATGAATGGAATATTGGTGGGAAGGTTCAACCTCTACTGCCATACCACCAACATCTGCCTCCAACGTTCTGGGCCAACATAATAAAATAGGAGGCATCACTTTCAGAGCCACCCTCATGCAATAATTATTGATAGCACTTGCACCAGGCATCTGCACAGCGAGCGCCATTACAAGAAATGAATTCCTGAATTCCTTTGCTGACCCTTCTGGGGTGTTCTACATGGATTGCCCAAGTTGACACCTTTGAAACTTTTTTTCTTCCAGAAGAGTCAGAAATCTGAATTTTCCAATCTCTTGTCCAGAGATTCTGCTGATTTGGCAAGGCAAGCTCACCCTCACGCTTCATCCAATGATAAGAAGGTCACAATGCTGATACAATTGCCGAGATATGTGTAATCTATAGTGAGACTCAGCCTCTTGCAAAACAAAATAATTCTGGGGCAGAAAGGCATCTTTGCCAGACAAACTGTAAGCAGTAAACAACTGATTGTTCCTTTTATTCTTCGCTATATCTACAGGGAATTTATATATCTAAACACGTGGAATATTTGAGACACCACTCAGCCTCTCAAAACATGGTTGCAAAAATGATAGCAGCTTTATGTTAAGGAGGGGACAGGGAGCAGAAACCAAGAGCCAGAGGGCAAACCAAGCATTCAGAGTTTGATTAATCAATGACAAAGGCGGAGCATTCTGATAAGTGTTTGTAGGACATCAGCATTTCTGAAAAGGCCAGTGAGAGGAGACAGTTTTGGCTGGTGATAAAAATAATCTCCTTATCAGTCTAGACTGCTGTACCAGAGCTCTCCCCCCTACATCCCCACCTCAGTTGAGGTGGCCAGACTTTAGGGAATAGCAAACAGAATTTTCCTTGATTGAAAAATACAGCGCACACTTGGTTAGCTTTCAACTATACAAATATAACTAGAAAGGAAAGGAAAAATATACCCCATCGAAGAATTAAGATGCAACAGATTTGCTGGCATTCAGGAGCACTAGAGCCTTGTAACTTCTATTTCTGCTTCTGTTATTTTAAGAAGACTGTCTCCTGTGGTCTTTTTTTGCCATTTGTTAAGATAATACAGTATGCCAAAAAGAACACTGTCTCTATTTATCTATTACAATACAAACTTTTTTATGCATACTCCTTCTTATATTGTGATTGGCACTATTTTAAACAAAATATAATGATGAAAAGATAATGATGGAATGCATGTGGTTTATGTCATCACAGTCTGTGTGTGAGACTAATAGATACCTCTAGAGCCTGATTTGGTGGTTGGCAACGCTGCCTGCAGCAGGAGGGCTGGAACGTGATGGTCTTTGAGGTCTCTTCCAATCCAAGTGATTCTATGACTCTATGAACAACCTCAGCTTTTCAGTCAGGACAGATTTGTAATTCTGAAGTGGACCCAATATTTTTACCTGCCATGCTTCAGCACCAAAGAGTTGTATTGGTTTGCATCAATGAAAGCCTTTTCATATGAAACAGAAGAACATTTAGTCAATAGGGCCAGCTAATTGCCCGCCTGAAATCGAATTCCAGAATATAACATAGGTTCTTTTGTAAGTGCTGCTGGCCTTGAGCTAAAAGATTTGTATTCCCTTTTACAAGCTGAGAAGCATGCCAATAAGCCGGAACAGGCAAAGCAGGTAGTTCTACATAGTTATGTTATAAGTCTAAACTGAATTATGATTGTAATCTTATCTTCTTCCATCACTGGGCCATTCATTAAATTTCACAGAGTGGAAAGGCTTCTGCATGCAGTAGAAACCAGTCCAAAGCCCAGTCTAAAGACCCAAGAGAGTTCATTTCCATGTTCCCCATGCAAGATTGCTGAGATCGTCTGCCTTTGATAAGGCACAGTTGAGAACATGAGGCTATGCAAGACCAAAGAGCAGAGAGAGAGTAATCCTAGGTTCTGCTCTCAAGGCCATTTCTGTTTCTTAAATTGTTGGCTACGTTAATATCACAAATGGGCCAACCAAACCTAGACAAGTCTGGAGTCTTCCAGTTATGTAGGATGGGGCAGAGGAAATTTCACTTGGGAGTTTGGGGATCTAGGCCCAGGCTTTCATCTACCAAGGTAGATGTGACTTTTCCATCAGGAAAAGTCATTTGAAAAATATGCTGTAGCACAAAGACACGTGGGAGTCTGAGATAGACAACAAGTCTGCTCATGACACCTGAACACCATGTTTTAAAACAGATATGGCAATACAATCATGGACTAGATCTTAGGCAAACAAACTCTGTTGGATATATCCTGGTTTACCACATGAACTGGGTCTGACAGGGAAAAAATACTGTCAGAGTTGTCTGGTGCGTAGTGCCAAGGAGGCAGATGTGAGAGCGTTAATCATAAGGTTCTTCCTCTTGCTCATTAGAGACACCACAACACCTTTCAGACCAATCTCTTCAAAATGAAAAACAGTTTTAAGTATTCTGTTTACCAGAGGCTCCCATGTCAGGAAGCACTCACATTCCCACCGAACTTTCTTGGGACTGAGGCAGTACGGGTCAAGCTCTTACCTTGACTCAGGGGAGACAACGTCTGCTGTCCATACTGACCCCATGCTTGATAAGACTCCTGAACTATTTACTATGAAGTAAGACACATCAGTGCTTATTAAGCCTGTCGATATAAAGGAATTCATTAGGAGTTGAGATTATGGTTTTCCTGTTATCTGAATGTTATCATTATTTTCTCACTGAAGTACATTTTAAGGAACATTGTGTTCTTTTTGTCTCCTTATAGAACACACTGCATTCTGTTTAACCCAAGGAACACAGTGGTTTTGAAGCAGAGTTAATCACAAAGAAACAGGAAGTCAGAGAAATTACTGATAAAAATATGTAAGTAGAGAGGGAAGGCTTACCTGAGGCAGTTCAAATATGAATTTGTTTCTCGTGTTTGCAAACAGAAGAAAAAACAGAGGCTAAACAAATTCTTGTGCTCAACCCATTCCAGACAGGAACTAACAAATTAACGCCATTAACATTCCACTTTATTTTGAGGGAAATCTTTCTGAACCACTGTACCCAACTGCAGAACTCCAGCAATGAATCAGATGCAATCAGAACAAGGTTCAGTGTGCACACAGATAACGGAAATGGAGGCTACAACAGATGGTTCTGTTAAGTCACTCTTAGAAAAGAAGCAGCTGAGGTTAAATAGGCCTTCAGCTGGCAGAATGTGTGCTCAGCCAGTGAGTGAATTCAAAGAATCTAAGTTGTCTGTGCTTAGGATCATAGTCCTGCTAATTAATGGATTGCTTTTGCCTCACTCTACTTGAACTCAGTGCCCAAGAGGTTACACTGAACAACTGCTCAATGCCTTCTTTCTCCCTTTTGTTCAGAGCAGGGCTTGAGAAACGCTAAGAGTGCTATGGGGCCATACTGAACTTTTCTGTACTGGGTTGCTCATAAAGTATTCTCAAAGCGTCATAGAAAAGAACATTATTATTGCCATTAAACAACTTTGGATGTAAACTGTAAAGGATTACTGAGGCAACATCTTTGTCTTCCTGGTCTAAGACGTCATAGGATTATACACAGCCCTTTGTATATTTGGAATATATCTTCTACTCCCTTGGCTGTATTTTGGCACATTAGGTAACGCTGTTCCCAAACATAGCTCCTCACCATCACTTGCACAACTGGAAATGCTATTTTCATCAGCAGAAAAAATAAACAGTAGGTGGACAAAAGCAACCAACCATGAGAACAACAAAAAAGAATCAGCCAACAATACTTATTTAATGATGCTTTTATTTTACAGGATTTTTTTTTTTCTAAGTACTCAATGGAAATTAAAGTGCTTACTTTTTACAATTCTCCACCCACCTTAAAACCAAATATACATATATTACAGAAAGTATATACAATATCTGCAATTATTTTACATTCATATATTTTTGACCATAAAAATGACCACTTACATTTGCACAACTTTGAACGTCATTTAAATCTCACCTTTTAAATATTCTTCAGTTTATTTGCAAAACCAGAATAAATTTACACCTCTTCCAAATATTACTATTTTTACAAACAAAAAGTGTTTCTTAATTAAAACCAGAAATAATGTTTTCGTAATAAAGGGGAATTACAGTGCATAGCCTGTAATTCTGATGTCACATTACAGCTGATCCAGCTCCCACTAAAATTAATGTATTAACATGCCTTGAGGGTTGCAGAATAGGGAATGTGCTAATTGAAAAAAAAAACAACAACACAACAACAGTATTTCTATTGCAAACAATTGCCTGCATCCAACAAATCTGCCTTCTTTCTTAGAATTCTTAGGGCACATTATTGCAAAAATGCTTTGACACAATTCCCCCACTTTTTCTGAATGCTTTTACCATAGTTAATGAATCTACAAAGGATGAACTACAAAATAAAGTAGGTTGGTTTTATACAGGGGCTGAAAATATGTTTTGTTGATGGAAACCTGCTGAAATTTTAGTACAGAGAAAATAAGTTCTACATTCTCTTGTGTTAGGATGAAGGGATGAAAGCAAAATGCCATGGATGAATCTGGGCCTAATTGTAATCATGAAGTTTTACAGGAAGCAGCCTGAATGCATTACTGGATTTAGTCTGTTTTGGTTTTATATAGTTGGAAACAGTAATCGCGCCATAGAAGGAGGTCTAATTTTGTTAATTCTTTCTCCTGAAAAGCATGCTCAACACAATCAATACAGTCAATTATACTTTGAATGCAGCACAGTGTGTTTCTGATTGTAAAATACTCCTTGAAGCAGGTCATATGAACAATAGTCTCAATCATTACAGACACACACACATATATATACATACACACAGATACATATGTGTACGTATACATCCATAGACAAGAAGTTACAATTATGATCTGTTAGCGGAAAAGGAATTTAAGAAGCAATCTGACTAGCAGATTAAAACTCATCCAAGACACATGCTTCACTACAGCCCTATAAGTCAGCTGTGGGTGCATTCCTCATACCAATAGGGCCACAGAATGAAGAAAAAACATCACTCCATATATCTTGGTTCAAATTCCAAATAAGAGTACACCACAGTTTAAGACTGATCCCCCTTTTATTGATGGATTTATCTTAAGGATAGTTAAGTCTGCCACAAAATTCCTTCTTTACTCCAATCACTTTCAGATTATCATCTGTCTCCACTCACTCCTACACCAACTGTCTCCAAGTGAAACCCCTCAGAAGCTCAGCTGAGCACTGTGATGCACCTGGAAGTCAGGAAGTCAGCAGGTCTTAAAGCAGAGTAAGACTGATTTTCCACCCATGTCTTTATAAAATGTAAGGTAGATTCCATGAGTATTTAAGTCTAGCAGGTATATGATAGTTTACACCTGCTAAGGATTTCAAAATATATCTACAGATAAAGCTCATTTTTAATTACTCAGAAATTATTTCTACGTGAAATGCCTGATTGTTTTCTTGAAATCCCCTTTCTTCAGTATAAGGAACCACAGCCATTTGTTCATTTTATTTAATCACGATATGAAAAGCAGCCCAGTTTTTATACTAGTTGTATGGTGAGAAGTACTTAAAAAAAGAAACAAAAAACGAAAAACACAGTGAATCCCCTGAGTCCCCAAGAACCTGTCAGATGCTTCCACATCCTTTCCAGACATTTTAAAGTGTATATATATTTATCTTTTTTTTTCTCTTGACTCCACTCAGAGCTCTTTAGAATATACATCTATTCTTAACCTCAACTAAAACTTATGCAAGTGATAGTGTATTTATTCTACATTTAATCCATGCCTTGGTTTCATCCATATTTTAAACATGAATAATAAGCCTCTTTTATATAAAAGGGATTTAGAGAAGACTGATAAAGCACTTCAAGATGGTTTTGCATAAAAAAAGGTGCCACTATATTACATGCATTTAAACAGTTTAATATTCTGCTCCAAATAGAAGATAATGTTTTTTTATTCTCAATATCTGTTTTATACATAAAAATTAAACACCTTTTGGAATAAACAGAACTATTCAATGTAAAGTGATCTGAACGTACTAGATGCTAGCAGTTTTACAGCAGCTCTTCAACTAAGCACAACTGCCTGATACCAAAAACAATTTTTATGGGACCCGGAAGAATGATGTAGACATCATAATATATTATCTTTCCATAACAGGGCGAAAAATATCATATCATTTTGAAAATATAATATGCTCCAAACAAATATCATGGTAAAAATTTGTGTTTGAACACAGACAAATCACACAGAATTGCTTCATCTGTTTCAAATTGCACTGTAGGCTGATCAGTCTTAGGTAGAAGTGAGCATTTCCTGAACACGAGAATTGAAACTCAGTTTAAATAATGCAGCAGAGCGACTCACATACATTCATGTATTATGAATGAATGCTCACTTATGTTTTGTTTTCCTCACACACATAGTTTCATGCTAATAAATACTTAAAAAAATAACAATCAGCTGAAATGGGAACAGCCTACACCGTATCAGAACGATGGCTTTGACTGCTTTGGTCATGACACTTCAGCCACAGCGCTTACTACTTAATATGTTTCCCTTTGCAGTTATAAGAACAAGCTTTGGATACCATAGGCAGGGAGATGACCTGTGGAGAATGGCATAAAACTGCTAAGGTGGTTAAATCTAGAAGCAACTTCTCATACACAGAGAACCACCCATTTGTGTGCCATTATCTTCTCAGTCAGAATGTAGTAATTCTGACCAAGCAATTAAGAGAACATGAATGAGTTTTTGCTAGGGTAAATAAAATATTCCACTGTATAAACTTTAATTGTTGAAATAGAACATGAAGCTAAAATCAAAATAAGTAACTACTGCTAATAATATAATAACAATGCTAATTTAATTCCACATTATGTCCACATGCAGAGCTTAATCTAGGATATGTTGAAACCACTGAAGCAGCTTCAGATAGTCAATACCACCATAACAATAAAGCAGCCCAGAAATTGCTGCTTCTAATGTTCTCCTAATTATTTCGCTGGAAATGGGTCTTCCTATTTGGCTCAGAATTAAATTTGCAAGATCTCAGAATACAGAATGTAGTAAATGATTGCAACTGTTTCACCACATTGAGTATCATTCAGTCAGTCTTATTTTTTAAGGCAAGGGTCTCTTTTTCAGGTAGATTCACCCCTCTACAACTTGAATGTAGGAAGTGATTTTTTTATACATGAGGTTGTATAAAAAGGTGACCCTGCAGATCCCACATGTGCACTGGAGACTCTTTCAGGAGACACCCCCCTTTCTAAGAGAGCTCTCTCTGTCTGTCTGAATGTTCCCCTCTCTCTTGCCAAGGTACACACAAGATGCAGCACGCTGCTACACAGACCCGAGTGAAGATTTGATGGAACTTAGCAACGCAAACCCTAAACACCTTAAGCTGCCCATAACTACAGGTGAATACAGCTGGAAGTAGAAGTAACTTATCACCTCGCAAAGAATTACAGAAGAGCTTGCATTCCAGATAAAAGCAGTACTAGGCTTACAAACATAGTAATCTGAACAGGTGGAGCACCCACGGAAGAATTCAGAACTGACATGCACAGTAAGCAGCAGGATTAGCGCCCGGCAATGCCATGCCTTGACTATTACCAACGCTAGTGTAAAGCTTTGAAGTCTAAAAGCCATTGTAAATTTTGGATTTGTGCAGGTGAGAGCAAAATCCAGCCTACTAACATGAAGTTGTGACTTTCTTACTGAAAAATGGCAAGTGCTGTGTACTCAGGTGCGTACAATGCTAAAAACAGCGTTTACTGTAACAATCCTTTGTTAAGTGTTAAGTAAAATAAGCACTTTTTTCTAGTGTTGAAGAAAAGAGTAAAGTAGGAGTTTAGTCAACACTTCATTTGGAAATTTCATTATAAAAAGTGGTAACTGAAATCTGCCCTCATGTTACCAACAAAACTGGACTTAAACCTGAGCGCTTCATCGTCTTATGTTTTAAAATATGGACAGCAGTTATACTGAGTAGTAACACTTCTGGATGCTCTCATGATAAGCTGAGTGTAGAACTTACATAATTCCCTTCCTCAAGATTTGCAGGCTCATATTTCATACTAAATGCATATAAAGCAGTCTCCATATTACAACAGCGATCGTTGGAGACTGCTGTCATAAATAAGTAGTATAGTATCTAGTTTTCTGCAAAAAATCACAATGCTTAGGTTCAAAATGTTATTTCGTTCCAATAACCGTAATAACAAAAATACCTGTTCCCAGAAGATTAACAGAATCTGTTGATTATCTCAATCTGCATTCTGCATTTTAGTAATGAACTGCTGCACTCTTATAAGATAACAGTGGTAGGACACTGAAGAAAAATGACTTCTCTTTTAAACACAACTGGAACTTATTTGTCCATTGCATGCCACTTATGTTACTGCTATTTTTTTTAATGCATAAAAATATCAAGATCATTAAGTGTCAGCTATTAAAACAAATCACTGAACAGTATTTGCTAATTTAGGACAGTTTAATTTCAAATAGAAAACATGCTTTTTAAATAAATTATTCATTAACAGGAACCCAGTCTCAGGAAATAAGAGCACAAATTGAATATTGTACATTTTAACACTGTACATATATTATATACTTCTCATCTTTTATGTATTCCTTTCTAGACTGAAAATCATTATATTGTTTTCTTGATAAACTGAAACTTTAAAAGCCAGTATACCTGTAAAAGCAATTTACATTACTTTAATTAAAAAGAAACAAATGAATACAACATATGTACAGATCTGTGGAATTCAGCCTACAAACTACTTACATTAAACCAAACTATCCCTGTATATTTAACTACAGATCTATTTTGGCAATGTGGAGGTATATCTTTTATCCTGTTGCAACTCCTAATACGTAAGCAGGAAGCTTCAGTATTTGCACTCATGATGATAGTAGCAAACATGAATCAAAGAGCAACTTCCAAAAAGAAAATCTGCATCACAATCAACAAGTAGAATGGTAAAGTTAGTAGGTATTAATAGTATTCACATTTTTTAAAAGTCTCTGAAGTGGACCTGTACATCACTCTTCTTGACAGAACATAAATATACGAAAGAAATCCCTAAGAAAGACCAGAATTTTTCCCAAACATAAAGTGCTAAGACATATATGGTAGTAAGAAGTTCTGTTTTTGTTTTTTTCTTTTTGTTTGATTGAGCAAAGAAAGGTTAAGAGGTTAGCCTTCCTCAAAGGTTAACCACAAATTCAATTGAATATTTTAAAAACACCACGTGTTCTTGGGCTTCAGCATTCAGATGTTTTAGAAGGTTCGGGTTGTTCTTCTAAATTCACTTGCAGTTCATTTTGACATTCTGATGTCTCACCTTTGACAGCTAAATGGATAACTTTTAACCATTTCTGTTTTAGTTCCTCATTGTCTGCAGCAAAGCTGTGCACAGACTTCGACTGGGTCAGTTTGAAGCTGTGTGGGAGGTCAGCACTTCTTGGGGTGTCATCCACTGTATAGCCCAGAAGTGGAATGGTAGCCAGAGCTTTAACATCCTAAGAAGGAGAAGTACCTGATTAGAAACAGCCAATTAATTTGCCTGCCTGCTGAGTTTCATTTACTACACCAGCTGATAAAAACACTTGCATCTTTCCTCCATTACCAAGGTATCTGATTTCTCTTCCTCAGATGTCAATGTTAATAATTACTAAAAGCTTTTCTATTTCCTCTCTTGGCTTACCTGTGGAGCACCATACATGTACAGGACAACAGCTTCCTGTTTAGGTATAACACACCATGCTTTCTGCCAGGGCTTTGATTTTTCCATGTACTGAAGAAAGCTACATATGACACTATTTCCAGAGACTTCAGCAGATTCGATCTAGGATAGCATAAAGCATAAAGAGGAAGGTAAGCTTTCATTAATAAAGGCTAAAACCCACAGAACAGAAAGGCTGAAATACACCACTAGTCATAACACATCTTGGATAATATTGGCAAAAGAGCTTGAGCAAGTAAGATAATGAATGAATGACCTGATTAGGGAGATTATATAAGTGTTACATACACAGGGTCACAAAACGTACTCTCTAATGCACATGAATCTGTTCCTTCTTTCACCAGTAATTTTGGATTACACACTTTTAGATGGCCAAATATTTTTCCTCCTACTGCAGCCTTTCTCTGTATTTTAGTATCCGCAACAAGGTTTTATTTCTAAGGTAACTTCATGTAAGGCATTGAAATGCTACTGACTATCCAATAGGACAACCATTTTATTTCATCAACAAAATGCTATGACAAGATCTAATGCAAACGCATTCTAAAGATAACATAAGAAAGCAAGCACTAATTCTAGACAGAACATTAGGTGAACTGCTCAAACTCTGAGGGCAGGATGACACGCTTCTCAGGTTAAATGTTGATGCCAAGAGGAATAGGAAGAGCACAAAATGACTACATGCTAATACTTCCTTAGCTCTATTCCTTTCCCACTCAGTAGTGATGCAGTCTGAGTGCTGCCACAAGGTAGTCAATCACTTCGTTGCCATGAGAAACAGCATGCAGACAGTTGTTTCTTCAGCTACCTTAAAAAGCCACCATGCCAAGAAACAGCAGTCCCTTGATTATTTAGTGCACTAGTGGAGTCCTGTAGCAGAATTGTGACAGATGAATGGTGAAACAAATAATCCATCAGATGAGATGAATTTGTTCCATGTGTCTTTTATGTCCCTCAAACACAAAAAAGCCCCACAAGAATAATACCACATGTGATATTTTTTAAATTACATACCTCCAGGATGCCTTTCTTCTTCTTTTCCTCACTGTCAGTACAACCAATTATAACATGATAGCAGTCCTTACAAACTTTATTCAATTTATTGCCATCGTACTCAAGATGTGCCTTATAATCAGAACATTTCCAGCAAACCACCTTAGAAACAAACAAAACAAAAAAGAGAAGCAGACATATAAATTGTAAGTATTTATAAAATTTCATGAAAACAATTTAATTAGAAGTTCGTATTATATCTAATAGCAATGTATTCAATTATGAAGAAAAAGATAATGGCTATTGTGTCATAAATAGTTCAATTGAAAATAGTATTTTTCCAAATTTGTGCCACTGATTCTTAACTAGAAGTGTTCTTCACTATTTACACTACTACTCTGTACAAAATCCTATTAGTCTTTCAATTATAACTGTAAACTAAAGATAGGAATAGAATTAGAAGATAGGACAAGCTATGCTGCAGGAAGAGAGTCTCACATTTTCTTTACATATCAACCTGAAAAGGTGCAGTCACCATTTTGTTTTCCACATAACCCCAGAAATGCATAACTGGGATGTACTTCAAGAGAGAAAAAAATTAAAATTCATCAGAACTGTCTAAATTTTTAACCTGTTAATAATGAACTTACAGTTTCAGAATCTGTTCATGAGTAATAAGTAAAACTAGTAACAATAAATAATAAGGAAATTCATAAGTAAGTACATGTTACACTGCTGATATTTCTTTCTAAGAAATATTTTAGAAAATTGACATGCAAAAAGATCTGAAGGAAGTTCTTTCATTAGAAATATTTTCCTACAGGAACGTTCTTTCAGCTGAAAAAGATGCCCTGCATAAAACAGTGAGAAGAGCCATTTCAGTAAAGTAAGGTAGATCAGTGACTTGAGCAACCCAAAGACTTGAACAAAATTTTATTAAGAGCCAAGGATCTGTAGTAGTAACCTAGCTAACTACCTTCAGCCAGTATCCATAGAGAACACTCGGTTTTGTTTCCTGTTATTCTCTTCTGGAAAGACACTCTCACTGACCAAATAATTCCCAATAGAAATGTATTCTAAAATCAAAATGGAAGGAGATGTGATAGAACTCAAGTAGGAGTCCAAACTCCAAAAGAGAAATAAGGGTAAAGGTGTGATCTTCAGATTATGGAGGAGTGTTAAAATAGAACAATTTGGATAGCAATAAAACAGATGATGACTGTGTAATCAATGATTTCGAGCTTCTGAATAAGTCTCTAGTGTTCAGCAAAGAACAAAAGCAGAGCTGTGAATGCAATAAGCCTTCACATGACATATGAACATTAGAAAGAAGCCATACGAGACAACCTATATATAAAAAAAAATGAAACCTGGGCTTGCACTACCATCTACTGGAGAAAGGAACAGATGCTGACTAGCAAGAAAAAAAAGAAAAAACAAGCACAGGATGTTTGCTCTTCTATTAACTTCTGAAAACTCTTATGTCATTCTACTGTGTTTAATTACTTTAATGTGATGTGCTATTGTAGCCTCATGTATGGAAAATACTCTCTTCTTCCTACCTTATCCTTCTCTTATGCTTCAGATGCTCACAGAACTGAACACTGAAATCAGCTGGTAAAAGCTCTAAGACTACCCAAAGACAATGTTTTAACAGCTCCGCTTCATGATCTGCTTGCAAATAAGAGAGGTGGTACAAAATGGGAACAGGAGGCAGCCAGCACTGTCAGAGGTAATGCAGGTTTATGCTATTTAAACAATCTTCAACCTGTTGAGATCAGCGGGGGCCACTCAGAAGTAACACAGCACTCAGGATGTTTTCCACAAATGCACATCTTCCTCTGCTGCAAATTACTTTCAAATTTGCTGTGCCAACTAACTTGGACAGAAGATTCTTTGTGGTGCTCTCCACAGATTCTCATCTCAGTCACAAGCGCAGTAACAAACTGCAGTATTACAGACAGCCACCAGAAGTCAGCTGAGCGCTCAGAGCCATGTCTAAGCCAGCTCACCTACGGCAGTTTCATACTTACGTGTCCACACGCTCGGCAGTGGTGCCGCCTTCTTGTCAGTGCATTGAAGGGCTCCTTGCATTTCATGCACATGGTCACTTCATTGTCTCGGATCCACCTTGGCGCCCTTTTCCCAAGCTCAGCGTTCTGAAGAGGGCAGGGGAAGGATGGAAGGATAAAAAAAAAACAACAACAAACAAACAGTTGTACAGAAATTTTAATAGAGAAAATTATTATTCTCTTCCTCTGGAACGGAAATGGCAAAACACAGTTCTAGATGCATTTTGAAATCTATACAAGAAATAACAAAGAACACAGTCAAAAACGATTATGCACGAATGAAAGGATACACTGTTATGCATTTCAAGGGGAAAAATAAAAAAAAGACTCGTTTATAAGATTTGGCATTATGAGGAAAAACAATTACAAGCAAAATGACTACTTTGTACTTCTTTTGCTCTAAGGATAATTAGCTGGAAAATAAAGCTGCTTCTGATTTATTATTTTTTTTCCAGCTATTGAAGAACAAAATGGGTAACAACAGGGTTACAAAGGAATAAAAGTAACTTACAGAAACCTCCACGGGCATGTCTTCATATTCCTTAGCAATAGCATTTCTGAAAGTTTCATTTCTCTGCTGAAAAGCTTCTATGGTATTCTGAAGCGCCTAGGGAAACAATAGAAAAACTTCTGAAGTATACTACACTTCTAATGGACAGTCTGCATTCTGACCATTTATTGATCAGCAGAAAGAAACTACAGCCAGAAAATACGAATATTGCTTTTTGATTGCTTCAGTGAAAATGCATTTAAAAAAAAAAAATAAAAAAAAAAAACAAATGTAGAAGGATTTACCTTTATCCATTCTTCCTTGTCTTGTTCAGAACTAAAAGAAATATTTGACACATTAGTCCAAAACTAGTTCAGAAAACATTATTTCACTATCAGCAACTTCCTGCAAAAGCCAAGAATCTGAATTAATTTTCATTAATTCAAAATCAGACAACACTGCTAATTAACTAAAGCAGACAAACAGAACAACTCACAAATAGTAGTATTCCCATTGTTGATTACTTCTTTTGTTTTTTAAAGAGCAGGACAGAAAGGAAGGGAGGAAAATGTAAACTATAGGTGTAGGTGTATTTTGTTCTCTCATTTCGTGCACTACTGAGTTCACATCAACACATGTTTCTCCTGTATATCTACCTATCTACCAGACTTTATCCTTTCAGAAAATAATTTTCTTACTGCTTTTGTTCCTTTGTTTAAATTTTCCTACAGTGGCAATAAAAATATCCAATGGAAAACTCTTCAAGGTTATGAACCAGATCACTGACCTTTTAGTGTTTAGATGGACTACAGATGACTTAATAGTAAGTACAGATAGAGTATACAGATGAAACAGATTAGATAGAGGAAATACATTAAACTCCAACCCTGCATGATAGATTTCTCTTTAAAATACATCAATAGGACTTTAACATTCAAATCTTTAGAAAAGTTACTTTTTTAAAATAGTAGCGCCATTAGAAACTGCTGGACAGCGATGGTAACCAATACAGTTTATCTGCAAGCTTTAAGTCATAAAGATAAGAATTAGCACCAAAATATATCTCTCTCTTTGAAAGTGATGGTCAACAATGTGGAAAAAATACTGCTGTAGCCGTATCATGCCTGATGTGCAAAATTTCAGTTTGTAATGGATTGCTACGAAGGACGCGAAAGACAACTTTAACAACACCTCAATAAAAATGATTCTTCATTCACACATTGTTGTCCAATATTACTGCAATTTGTTAGGTAGTAGAATGCTTAACAAGTATTTCCTATTTCCACCTACCATCCTTACATCAGGTAGAAAAACTGTCTTAGACAAAATAGTTCTCCTTCCCTGCTTATGCTAAAAAAAAACAAAAGCCGAGCTATTGAACATCACACCAGATTAGCAACCTCTCAAAGAAACAATTTACCAGCTATTTAAAACTACTGATGGAAAGTACCCTCAAATAGTATTCTGAAAAATAAATAAATAAAAGCATACTAGTAAAGAAAATTCCAAGGATAAACTAATCATAAAGTTAATAGAAACTCCTGAATTGGGGATATTAAGGCATAGAGTACACAAAATAAACATATTTTAACCAAGACTTGAATAATCTACTTTAATAAGATTTCAGTCAGTACTTTTTTTTTCTCCATAATTTTGTACAGATTTAATGCATTAAAATTGTTCATAAAACAATACATAAAGATGGGTACTTCTCAAACTAATGCAATAACCTAAATTACTGATAATTTGGGAAACATACCAAGATAATCTCACTTTGTTGTAGCCTTCTTCTTCCAAATAAAAAGTACTTCACAACTGGTACAACAAGATGCCATTTTATACCACTGAAGTAGATATGTGGCATAACTGCTTGGCAAATACTTAGCAAAAAGCCATGCATCAATTGATAATGGAAGTGACTGACAGCAAAAACAACTTTATTCCAGAAGTCTTCTAGATTTGAATGAAAAGGTTTTTCCTGCCATTTTTGAAAACGAGTATTTATTATTGTATTGAATTTCAAATTATAGAGTAGGCCAGTTGTTGTGTGCTGTTACACTTCTGTATTCACTTCTGTTACTCTTCAGTATTTTTCCATGAAGAAAAATATCCTGCAGTATTGATAACAATTTGATAGCAAGCTATAGTCTGTCCCCAAATGTATGGTGTAGACACAGAACTGTGTCACCATAGATATCATTATCAAGTTGCAATTACATCCTGATTACTATGAATAAGACCTTAAAGAAGCTCCAACAGTTAGGTGGATGTTAAACTTGCCCTACTTTATTTGAGGTAGCACAGACAGGGAAAATTTAGTCTTAGCAATGCAAAAAGAAGCAACAGAAAGGTAACCCAGCGAGAAAAAGATGAGAGGACTAATAATAAAATGAAGAAGAGTGCCATTTAGAAGAGTGCAATTGGAAGGCAAGGAGCCAAGAAATAAAAGAACTTGTCTTTCAGATTGATCTCTGGAATCAGAGGAAAATAAACAGATCTGAAAATGGAGGAAAGTAGATACCCATCCATCTACCACTATACAGAGCTACATTCTGGAGACATACCCCCACCAGATTGTTTTGTTGGATGGATGAACCCTGAGTTGAACTGATCCATTTGTACCAAAGTGGTTCAGGTACCAGAGGCAGCAGCACTGCTCAGATTAATACTCAGTGTCTCGAAACTCCTGATGAAGCCAGACAGTTCACCTTTGCATACACTGATCTCAATTTTCCAGGCAGCTCACTCACAACTGTCTTGGGTATTTCAGCAAGGAAAGACAACACACTATATATCCTGTAGCTGCATCTTCCACTCCAAGAGAATTTCAGAATGACAATTTATGCATTTTGCTGCCTATGTTATTTTTAAAACACTGCTATTACGATGAAACACATTCTATCTTCTTTCAAATCTATCAGATTGATTTATGTATGTATAAACTTAATCCTCCATAAAAAGCCGAAAGACTTCTCTTACCTGGCCTGCAACTCCAGCGTTCGCTCTTTTCCAGACACTTGAAAAGTGTGTGGGTATTCTTCATTATGAGTTTCTATAATCTTCATACCATCTATGCCAACTCTGGTTCGAACTGAGAACTTTGATCCTACCAAGCTGAATTTGGGGACGCAGTAGAGCAACATATTGTTAAACTGGGGAGAAAAATAGGTACATAGCTTTACATTAACAAAAACACAGAAAACAGCCAGTTCCTACAGAGAACTGTACAATATCACAAGCTAAACTAAATAGATGGAAAGTGGGTTCTTTTCTGCTTAGCTGATACATGCAGAGACCAAAACTGTAATGCAAGACATCTTTTTTCTAATATTTTTATGGGATTTAGAAATAAAATTTAAGGTCAGGCCCAACAGCTATCAGAATAATTGCTCTGTATATACAGCAGTCGTCATAATGTTTATTATCTACTATGCTTAGCAACAGGACAAGGGCAATTGGATGTGAACTGGAAGAGGGTCGTTTTAGACTAGATACTAAGAAGAAGTTCTTTACTGTGAGGGTGGTGAGACACTGGAACAGGCTACCCAGATACATTGTGGATGCTCCCTGCCTGGAAGCATTCAAGGCCAGTCTGGATGGGGCTTTGAGGAACCTGGTCTAGAGGGAGATGTCCCTGCCTATAACAGAGGGGTCGGAACTACACGATCTTAAAGGTCCCTTCCTATGATTCTATGCTCCAGCTGGATATTTTATGCCATTGTAATATTCACATGCCTCAGTTCTGCAGAAACTATTCTAAATTGCACAATAAGAACTCTGCTCTTCTGTATAAATTCATTTTCACCCTCTACCAAATAACGTAGTATTGTAGAATCTGCAACTACTACTATTAGACAAGGATATGGGTCATTTCTCCAAAAGAAATGAATACTGTGGTCTTACAGTTTTCATTCATAGAAAACGTCAATATAACGTGAAAAAAAAAATACATGAGCAGGACAAATATATATTCCTTTATTAAAGACTAGAACATTTACATTCTTATGTAAATGCCCAAACTGCCAGACAAGGAATATATTTCTTAAATAAGCTCTAGTGCATTTAGTTCTCTCATATCTTTCCTCACATTTTCTCTGTATTTTTTAAAAAGAGATACTCATCCCTTTTGAACTTGTCACCTTTCGTGTTAAGCAATGAACTGCATCGCACCTTTTCCAGGGGAGCTTTAAAGGGCACATGCTGTAGTCTGTTATTCCTAAGAGAAGAAATGGGCTCCTGTCAAGAGGATGAACTGCCATAACAACAAGTTTCCACAGGACCGTGAGGCTTACACGAGCACCAAGACACACAATCTATCGGGACTGAAATCCCGAGCATCTACATTTCTGTTTTATGAGAACTACAAAGTTCCCATGCTCTAGAACACAAGTGTCCAACCTTTTGGTTTGCCTGGACTGCACTGAGTGAAGATGAATTGTCATGGGCTGCACATACAGTTATTGTATGTAAGTAACAATTTTTTATTTTTTACTTTTTAATATTAAAACATAAAACGAGTGGGTTGGACCTGCATTTAACATCGGCAGATATTTTTTAACAATGAGTTGTTAGGTGCTGGTTCAGTTCTGAACAGTATTCTCATGTCCTTCTATAAGCAGCATAGGGTTTGTTCAAGCTTAAGTATCATTAGAGGAAAGGTTACTCATTGACATCAACTAGAAGAGAATTTGCCTCTCTCTTTCGCAGATCTTTCAAGTCTAGAAAGACATACAGCCACCCTTGCATCATACTCACAAGGAAAAGGTGCCGTTCTTGAGCAGATGTATTGCGAGCAGCAAGTTTAAGGATCTGTCCTTCTTTTATCAGTTCATTTGAAGGGTTCACAATGTCTTCCTCTTCTCCCAGCATCTCATATATCTCTAACAATTTCTTTAGATTCTCCTGTTCACGGAAAACACAATTACAAAGCTTATGAATTAACAGCACTGATCTTAATGCATTTTAAAGGAAATGCCAGGAGCTTGTGTCAGTCTGGAAATGTTAGTTTTGTAACAAATATTTTATATATATATATATATATATATATATATATATATATAGCTGGTATACATAGTCAACCATGCAGATTGATTAATCAAGTTGATACAGCTTTAAGAAACATTATGATAGTCTTTAAAAATGTTGGTATATATAGAGCATGCACAATTTATTGTCCAAAATTTCAAAATACTAATTAAGTATTCAGAATACGTAATGTATACCTATCATGTCAGTCTGATAACAGTAGGGAAACAGTAACTATTTTTTACAAACATTATTTTTTCACCAACAGAAACAGATGCAACAAGGTTAAGAGTCCAAGATATTTGAACCTGGAACTTGCAGGTTAGGTACACTGTCAAATTTTGTTTATCATCTCCAGGAACATATAAACACAGTGAGTAGAAGCAATCACTTGGACAAAGGCAGTAATGTTTTTCCCTTTTAGGAAAAATGTTCAATTCACATTCTGAGCTTCACTAAATACTCAAGCACAATATTTTTAAAAATAAACAGTAAAAAAGAATAATTTACCATTTTCCTTATTGCACTATTTGAGTGGCTTGCTGCAGTGGATATAATTTCCAGGGATTCTAGATAAAAGGAAAAAAAAAAAGAAAAAGAAAGAAAAGCAAAACAAAAAGCTGCATTTTCATGTGTATTTCTATTTCACAGAAAAATTTCTACAAAACTATGCTTGTAATTTTTACACAAATTACACACTATGATGAATTCATTACATTATCAATGAAAACTAACAAAGGTAAAGTGGACAACACAAGAAATTTAGTAACCAAATGGAAATAATAATCAGGAAAAATCAGAAGAGAATTATTGTAGATTACCTTAAGGTGAGCTTCAATACTTAAAATCACACTGTTGTGACAGGAACAGTCACGGTTCTCTCACCTCTTTTCACAAAGTACTCCAGAATGTCACACAATATTTTTTTTTTTTAGTTCAGACACCTCATATTACTAATACTGATTACTAATAATGAAATACAGATAGGAAAAACATTGAAAATTGATTTTTCTTTTTCCCTGTAAGAGTTTAAAACCAAAACAGTCTAAATCTTCCTCTTTTTTTTTCCAAATAAAATAAAATACATGTGCATAAAAAAATAATCTGATGAGTAAAAGCAAACAAAAAAAAACACTTGAGCGCAATTCCAAAATCAAAGCAAAACTAACATACTCTATTAGAATAACTAAAGGCTTTACAGTTTCTATACTAATTTCATCTACTTTTCAAATATTTTTCCAAAGAATCCTACTATTCCACTGAATAAATGCTACCACTCTGTCTGCAGTGTTTTTCTTTTCACTTTTTTCCCTGCAGATAGTTTCAATTTACAGCATCCCCTTACTAAAAGCTTATTACCGCTATTTTATCAACTAGTAGATATTTACTTTCAGCATCTTTCCAGTCTAGGGAGTCCTGAGGCAATTTCCTTAGGTAGTCCTTTAGAAGCATCTCATAGCGTGGAATGCGTTGTACAGGCTCTAGCATGTGATGTTGTAATGTCAAACTTCCACACACTTTTTCCTTCTAAAAAATTGCAAACATATTTCAGTGTGGTAAGCAAAAATACTACTTCACAAGGATTCAGTAGAATAAAAATTATAATAGATAAAACAAATAATGTATTTTAGAAACATGCATGACAGATCTTCTGAAAAAAAAATTACAAAACCTACTTTAACACGGCAAATAGTTTGAAGTACTTTCCTAAATGTAATTGTAAAAATAATATCCTAAATATTCAGCAGAATGTATAAAAGGAAGCCCTACCAAAAAAACTCCCCAGCACCAGCATACTTTACCATTCTTTTTGTAATAACTCTGAGAATCAGACAAGGAGCACTGAGTTCATATGAACAGGTCAGGATCATGTGTTAGAAAAAGTCTCTTAAATGAGCAATAAAGGTCTATTTTATCTCTTTGAGGAGAGAAACTCTAACTTTCTTAGAGTTTTATTCATACTTGGGGATGTTGTATCGTTTTAAGATGCATATTCTTTTCCATAAACTTAGATGTAATTAAAAGATTACATTCAAATACACATAATTGCCTTCCTTGGTTTAGAATCAAGATGCCCTTTATTGCAATGAAATTTAAGCAGAAATATCTTGCAGTATTTCAAGATGTTGGGTGTGCAGGACAAAGATACATACCTGCCTTTCACAGAGAAACCTACAGGGAGCACTACAGCATATGAAACACACTCTTTGGAAGAACAGTGCTCTGCTGTCAAGACTCCTTTCACTTTTTACGGTTCAGCATATTGTATTTCAGACCTACTTCCAAAGCTAAGTGTTCTGCATAAACAGCACTGGTGTGAGCCAACAGAATACCTGCAGATTCAGCACGAAGATCTATAGCTGCACTGATGCACGATTTTATCTTAAAACTATTTACTCTCAGTATCTATGACAAAAATATATTTAGTCTTCCCATGTTTCAAGCTTTACACATTGGCCCTCTGTGATGCAGTGGAAAGTTTGGATTTATGTGGGTATTTATGCACATGTGAAGAGAGAAAGAGAAGAAAAACTGCAGCATGAAGTGGAGAAAAGAAAACCTTACTTCTAGAGGATTCTGTAATGTTCTGTTTTATTCTTTTTTCTCCTAAAATCCTAAACATCTTTATACATGCTTGTACTACTTGCAGCTCTACATTATTCTCCACATTACCTGAATATCTTGAATGATGAATTTAAATTGAGGTGACCGTTCAGTCCATGTTTTCACCAATTCCATTGCATTATCAAAATTCTTCACGTACTCTCCGTACATCTTGAGAAAAGGAGCTAATTTCTGCAGAATATCTCCAATTCTGGGGGTGGTAGTCCTGCAAAGTAAGAGAGTGGAATCTCAGAGCAGACAGAAAAGAAGAAAGTCACACATGGTTATCAAAAAGTTTCAAGCATTTAACAGAGAATCCTTCTGCTTGGAATCACCTTGTGTAGAGTTTCAACACAACTGTCAAAGAGGAACTGAATTAACATGGAAAGAGCTTCTGCATTCTCTTTGGTGATGTATGAGCATTACAGACTAAATGAAACACTAAAGGAAGAAAGCTATTTACAGTGAAAAGCTTGAAAGTCTTTTTTTTTTTTACAAAACACAACCTAAATTCTTTTACCTGCAGTTCCTCAGAAGTATCATATCATCTTTTACTTCTGTGGACATACTTTACCCTCAGTAAAAACCTGTGGTTTTGTTCGAGGACTAAATTCATACTATAGAGCTTCCCTTCAGTACTCAGTATAAATACATGCATTTACAACTTTAAAAAAACTTATTATTTATCTGACAAAATGGATAGAGTAGTGAGAATACCTGGAATTCCAGACTTTTGTAGTAACTTTCCCACATTCTTCCCAATTACTGAGAGCATCTTAAAACAAATCAGAATAGTACAGAAACTAACTGAAGGACAGGCACAGAGAAACTGTACTCTGTGTGCACAGAAAGCATAACAACACATGCATCTCTCAGAACTGCAATATAAAATGTGTTTCATATTTTGTTTTCAAGCACTCATTCAGTAATCCATTATCTCCGGAATTCAGTAGGTTGGATTGGGCCCTGGGCAACTTGATCTAGCGTGTGGCAGCTGCCTATGGTAGCTGGGTTGCGACTTTAAGGGAGGATGATCTTCAAGATCCCTTCCAACCCAAGTCATTCTGTATTTCTATTACTCTGAAAAACTCTACAACTACTTGAAAGGAGATTGTAGCAAGGTGAGCTCTCTTCTCCCAGGAAACTGGTGATAATGGCCTCAATTTGTACAAGGAGATGTTCAGGTTGGATATTAGGAATGATTTGTTCTCAGAAGGAGTGGTGAGGCACTGTAATAGGCTGCCCAGAGAAGTGGTGGAGTCACCATTCCTGAAGGCGTTCAAGAAACATGTGGATGTGGCACTGAGGGACATGGCTAGCAAGCATGGTAGTGATGGGTTGGGGTTGGACTAGATGTTATTAGAGTCTTTTCCAACTTTCCAATGGTTCTATGATTCTACAAAGTCAAAAATAAACATACTGCAGTGGTCTGAAGAGAAGCAATCTTTTGCAATTACATCAGCATCCTACTCTGACACACCACTGCTTCAAAAGCTGTTCAGAAAGGAAAGTTACTTGAACAGCAAACACTGGCAAGCTCAAGAAATAGGATTTCATGCTGTTTGTAGGTACAGAAACACTTCCTATTTTGGTGTTATCAGACCACAGTGGTATTCACCTAAGCATTCTAAAAAATTCTAAAATTAAATAGTTGAGAATTTCTGATTGTAGAAGTTAAGCAAACGTCTGTAAAAATTCACACAGCCAAGGTGATTACAATATATAAGCTAACAGACATCCAAATGGAATTGAAATTTGTAGTTCCAAATTAAAGCAAAAATCACATCAGTAGGTCAGTTCTGAAATTGCCAAAGAATGCTACAGTCTAAAACATTGTGTTGAATAATTTGTCCCCAAGAAGACCCCAAAAAATCCAGAGGATATCACATTGTTTTTTATATTCTTCACAGGTAATTGCTATTGGACTTGCTTGGGTACAACAAAAAAGCATTTAGATTTGTATTTTGACTTGGAGTTGATATGCTCTGTTTTGCTCTTTCATGGGAAATATACTGCACTGATTTCAAGCCATATGCTGTAAGAGATATTCAGCTCCAGCTGTTGCTCAGCTCATTCAATATGCCATTACCAAACCATTTCCACTGGATAAGTTTAAGCACACATGGTGTTTTTTACTAAAAGAAGAATCTGCTTCTGCTCTCTTTCCCGATTTCAAGAACTCTACATTGAGGTCCCTTCCAACTGCTGCAATTCTGTGATTCTGTGACTTTCACTTTAAGTGTTCACAACCAACCAAAACTCAGGGAAGGCATCGGAATTTTCATGGGAATTTTAAACAGAAGTAGTGCATACAAGTATCAGTACTTCAATATTTCTATTAATTAGAGAACTGCTGGGAAAAGCAAATTCTCTATCTGGCAGAGGCTGTTGTACCAGGCAATTCCAACAATGATCAGAAATAATTTTCTTAAACCACACTCTTTCTTCCATCTTCTCCCAAAAGCAAAATGTTTTTAGGGCTTTCAAATAATGTGTCTCACACACAGCACAGAAGTTTTTTCCAAGCAGCTGCTTACAATGCAACTTAGTTTTTCACCAATAGTTGTAGCTCACCTGCAAAAAAATGCTATTAAACCCTTAAGGCTATGTAATTATATACATATAATCAGCATGCAATTTAGCATTTTGCAAAACTACCGTGATCCATCTTCTGTGCTGAATCTAGAGCAAGATCTTGAGAATTTGTCACAAAATCAATTTCAAATACATACTGACAAAATGTAGTGTATGCTGCTTATTAAGCATATTGTAAATTAAACTCTACATCTCATGATTATGCAATCTATTTCCTATCGGATTTTTTTTCAATTCTTCAATTGATGATTGTCTTCATCAAAAGATGAAGAGAATGGGTTTGTTTTGTTATTCTGCAAGGAACATAAGAAAAAGGCTTAAACTTCGTTGTATTTCACGATACTCAGGTTTTACTCATTTTCCTGTATGTTCAGGGCTACCATAGTTTGTGCATGGTAACTACTCCTACCTTAAAGAATATTTTTAATAATTTCATAAGATAGACCAGAAACACATGGCCATATTTTGGTATCTCCAGAATCCCATATACCAAAGAAGGATAAAGATACAATAGTAAATGAGTACATTAAGGACTATATTTACACATCTTCCTTGCTGCAAATATTCTTGACTTAGTTTTCTGTTCGAAATTAAAACCCCAAACACAAATTATAATGTATTCCATTTTAGTACTAAAAGCAATAATAAGAAAGATTACTGTGTTGGAGACCAACGACAGAATGTAAGGAAACCACACTGAGCTGCAACAGGCGTGATTCAGACTGGATATCAGGAGAAACTGTTTTACTGTGAGGGTGATCAAAATACTGGAAGAGGCTCCCTGGTGAGATGCTTGATGTCCCCTGGCTGTCAACATTCAAGACACATTTGGATAACATCCTTAGTGGTATACTGTAACATCTAGTCAGCCCCGAAGTGGTCAGGCAGTTGGACTAGATCTTTGAAGGTCCCTTGCAACTGAACTATTCTATTCTTATTTCTGTACTGCAAGGGTAGCACGAAACAAATAAATCCACTCTGTCTCATTTTTTTATTATGTGCACTGAATTCATCAGGATGCACAATTTCAGTTTGATTCCCTAATTCAGCAAGGCTTTTAGTCATGAGTAATCTCACTGGCTTCGGTAAGATAGATGTCTTAGTTTGAGCTAATGATGAAAGTCTTTTGCTGAGACAGATCCTGATGAAGAGTAGAAGAGCAGATGTTCTCCTACCCACAGTGTTTCCTTGTATTGGAGCATTTAATTATGAAAGTATCTTCTCTACCTTAACCCTGTAACAGCTTCTACAGGCACTGTTTTAGTAAATTACTAGTCAGTGAATCATCTCTTACCATTCTTGCATTCTTTTCTCAAGTTCGGGAAGTAAAAATTTACTGTGGAAGGCATTTATTGATGAAATATTAGAAAAGATTTTGTTAATCACTTCAGCTGGAAAAGAACCTCTGTTGGCTTCTTCAAGGAGTCTGGAGTAAAATACCTGCAACGCAGAAAAAGAACCCCAAACCTATTAGCCTTTTATCTTTTATCACTGGATGAAGAGCCATCCTCTCCTTCCCACTCCAATCATGACAAAACTAATGTTTCAATAACATAGGCAGATAATCACAGAAATTGTTTCCTTTCTCAGAAGTTAAAAACTACTTCTCCTGTTACACCTAGCTTTTTTCTTTTGAGCCACAAAAGTGCTGTAGACTGAGCAGACATAAGGAAAGCCAAAGTGAAGGAGTGCCATTCTAGTCTGAGTCCAATATCCTGTCTGTTCTAACAGTTAGATCTTGTCAGCTTTCCCAGTTCTCCAGTCATGTTTTCCATTCTCACTTTCTCTTCAGTGAGCATGATTTCTGATTACCATTAGCCCAATAGTCTGTAAGCTATAGCCCCTTATCCTTAAAATGTCAAGTAACTGACAGACTATAAAGACTATACAGACTATACCAATTAAAGTGCAGAAGACTTCAATACTACTGTAGTCTCTAGAACAAAAAAAAGAAAAGCATTATTTCCCCATCAGTTGTTCTACCTGACTTGTAGCTACAAAATGAGTAGAGACACGTCACTCTTAACATGCACATCACATAAACCAGTGCTCATAGGGAGCTATGTCTCACACAGTCCATGTCTCACATTTTCATTTATATTGTAAAACACACTCACTTTGCTGCATCTCTGAGAGGACAATTAGAAAATTTGGATAAATTCCTTCAAAGACTATAAAGGCTACATACTTTTAAGCCCAGTTAGAAGCACAGTGGCCACAAACAATCCACTTTCCTCACATTATCAGTAGTTGAGCAGCTGTGCTTGCAACCATTTTTCAGAACTGTCCAGCTAATATTTGGAAAAGTCATAGAGTAATCTATGCATGATTGAATCAAGGACAATACTTGTACATTAACTGTCAGTAAGTCATACATTAAATAAATAGGTACTGCTGTTTTTCCCAATCAAATCAGATTTTTTTTTCCTCTCACTACTTTTAAGGACAGTTACTTTGATTCCCCAAGGAATCCAAACAATTATTCTGTCAGTTGAGGCTTCTTATTTTTTTCCTCAGCAACGTGTACAAGACTTATGCATTAGGCCTGAGAAGTTTAAACAGTGATATGAAGAAAAATATTGTGGAGTAAGGCAATGCATAGCTATAAGTACTCAGATAAAATGGATATAGGCATTCTGTGAAAAGCAAATAAGAAAATACTAAGAACTACAGATGTTCGAATTTAAGAACTATCAATTTAACTCTACAGAGCACAAGAACCTGACTCTTCTCTTGCAGGAGAAGTAATTTTTGTTCACTTTAACAGGATCTAGTCTAAATGTACAATGGGAAAACAGGGCACGTAGGGTTTAGAATGGGCATCTTCGTACGTTCCTTAGCACTGAAGAGAATTGCTATTCATGTGGCTGAAGTCTGAAAGACTTAATTTGCTAGTGGGCAGGCAACTTCAGTACTATAAAATGACACTTCTTGCCCAACTCAAGAGAAGCCAATAAATGAGTGAGCGTAGTTTATCCATCCCTTTTATTGAATTGGTTACTGGTGTGGATTTTGCACTACTGTTGCTTATGATGAACTCTACTCATGCACTCAGAAGATTTGCATTAATACAACATTCTCAAACACTTCTTAAAAAAATGCAGTGTTCTTAAATTAGAAAAAAAAAAAAGGCAAATTTATGCAGCAACCGCAAATGACTGTAAAGGTTGGTGACACATAAAAAACATACAACCTCCTTTACATAATTTACATGTGCACGCAGCCATTTTCATGAACTAAAAGAAAGGAAAGAAAAATTCAAGAGAAACATACTTGATCTAGGAGGCCAAGGCGGCTAACATAGGCTTTTTCTGTTTGCAGAAGTTCACTGGCAATTTTGTGACGCTTCTGTTCATCTGTCTCCTAAGAGAGAAGAAGGAGAGCTCTTAAAATACTAGAGAAAACATAACAATAAAGTAGGAGGGGAAAAAAAAAAAAAAAAGTTAAAAAGATACACAATTACCTCAGAGTCCAAAAAGCATCTGAAAACCAACTTTCACATTTAGCAAATATGAAATGTCAACCTATTTTGGAAAATACAAGCTTTCTGCCAATTTAATCAACAAAAACAAAAGTCAGAGGAGGATTAAAAGAAAGAAAGAAAAAGAAAAAAAATCACTAAAACTACAGAGCAAATGCCAAAGCCTACCCCATTTATTATTTCTCAGTTTGTATAGGAGTCTTTGCCAAAGCCCCAGCTCCCTACTGAACAGCTCAGCTCCATCCCAGTAACCAAGTACTATCAACCTTTCAGTGCTGGAAGAACTCATTTACAGAGTAAAATGTAACAGATGGAATTAGTCGGTGTTCTCCCTCGCCCCCGTTCTGAAAGTTATTTGAACTGACTGTTCTTTGCATAACAGAACCATTGCAAAATATCATAAAAATGTGTTATGTTCATCAATACAATCATTGCTGATACACGGTTGACTGCAATTAGAATATTCCTTCACTAGTTTTTCACATAAGTCATTTTTGTTTCTTATGGAATTTTTCACTTTAAAGTCTTTCATTCCACAAAAAAAAAACTTATTTTTTATTCTTCTGCTAAATGTAAAACTTAAAGCATTTGTTCAAATTTCAATATTAAATTTAATACGTTGGAATTGAAAATTATGTGTTATTTCAAAGCAATTAAAGTGCGCCCTTCCAAAATAGTAAATAAAAGTCTCATGCTCAGAAGTGTCATGTTCAACAAAATGGCTCTTCCACTGTAAGATTTTCTTTGGGGTTTAGTAGCTGTGCTGAAAAGTACTGACATTTAATGACATCTGAGTCCTAAGGAAGTGCTAGTCTATGTCCAAATGGAGCTTATAGGAAAGTGGGAATTTTTTTAGACAAATTTTGGAAACCTTCCATTAAAATAAATAAAGAGAAGAGCCTGATAGAGTTATTTCTGATTTCAAACTGCCTACTGCTTTCTGCAAGATGAATATTTGCAAGTACATATAGTTGTACACATTGCCAAAAAAGTGAGCGATAAAGAACAGAGCTTCCATGTAAAGGACCAAAGTGTGTTCTTTCCTCTTTCAGTATTTAGCAGGTCTTCCAGATACGAACACTTTACAATTCTGATCTTCAGTGTTAACATTCACACTGCTACATAGGAAGTCCCCTCCCTAAACACAGGCTTTCAATACTGACTTCAAAGCTGTTCATTAAATCTATTTCAATCAACATAGCAACCACAGTAACCTATGGAACAGCATTTTAAGTGCTGTCAGGAGACATTGCAGAGAGCTGAAGGATTAGCTGTTACAGCCCCAGTATGCTGTTTAGTGCAGTCATTTACAAAGAATCTTGCCAGAGGCACAAATAACACAGAGGCTATTGGTTCTTCTTCAAATACATTTCAGATTTGTTTTATTTTTCAATTTTTCTTTGTTTTTTGTTTGTTTGTTTGCTATAAGTCCCCACTTCCCTGAAGCACCGCTACAGAACTGTTGTACGGTTTTCAGAATATTACTTCAACTAAATAGGAGAGGGAAAATCATGTGCAGCGCATTGAAAAAAACAGTATTTAAAATGAGCAATTCAGGAAAAGCATTCAATCCCCCCCACCCCTGAGCCAAGGCAAAACCCTTGCTCTTCCACTGTGCCCCAACCCCCTGCTTCTCCATTCTTTAAGTATCTCCCTTACACATCTCCCTAATTCTAGAACTTCAGTCTCCTTTCTACAGTCAGTACTTGACTCAGGAATCATCTATGTGGGAAAAAACATCCACCAAGGATATTATCTTTTAATCACAGTGGCATGCTCTTATTCCAGCATAGGAACATCTGCCCACGGGGTTAGATCGGTGCAAGAATAACATAAAATTTGATTACTGATGGTTTGGTTTTTCAGAGAAGTCCTCAGTTTCCTGCTATATCATCTCAATATCTGCCTACATTTTACAGCTCCCAACTGTCTTCTACTTCTAGCTCCATCTTCACCCCTTCTCATACTCTCACATGCTCACCTTCCCAGTACCCTATCTAAAAGAAACCGTCTGGTTTCCATGAGGTCACTCCAGCTTCCTTCCAGTTGGAAAAAAGAAATTTCAGGCTATTTTGTTGACAGTGGCATCCACCTCTTTTAGAGCTTTTTTGATGGAATTGGAGCTGCTTGTCATAAACACAAGGGGTGAAACAGGTCCAGATGTATAGGTTTCAGGTCTTCTTATACTAAGGAAAGACTCACCACCATGCAATGTGGAATGATATGCAAAACTCATGCTGTACCTCTGCCCCAGATTGAGCACCCACACCCTGCTTGGAGAGGGCACAGCCAGGGCTCAGGGCAGACAGAGAAGAGACAAAGAACAGGCTCTGCAGATCTGCACGAGGCTATTCTGAGTAGCAGAAAAGAAGTCTTGAAATATAATTTGGAAATAAATCCTGAATAATATTTTGCAACTGTAAGAACAACACAGAGCTGCTGGTTATTAGAGCTGTTCAACAAAACAGCCTTGAAAAAGATCACAGAGACAACTGGAGAAAAAAAAACTGAAAAGAAGAAAATTTAGAAAAAAACAGGCATGGAAAACATAAAGTTAATATTAATCTGCCATGAGCTTCAGTGCTTTCCTAAAGAACAATTGTTTCAAATCTGATCTGACCTGTAGATGCCAATCTTTGAAAATTGCAGTTTTAGACAATTTTTACTTACATATCTTTAAACTAGGTTCCCTAATGATCCGAAACAGACATTTTTTCTGGTTGAATCATTTAGTAACTAAAGTATTTCAAAATTAATAATTTCAAGCAAACCATACTTTCCATTCTGTCCAAATATTTGACAAGGTTCATGCAGGCAGAACTCCAAATCTACATCTTTAGATAGTACATTTAAACTAAATATTTTATCTTGAATAAATTGCATACTCTTTAGCACAAAGAATTGCATCCTTAGTATTATTGTGTTACTACAGATGCTTCAGAAATTAAAACTGTAGATGCTTCATCCTTGGAAGTGTTCAAGGTTAGTTTAAATGGGGCCTTGAACATCTTGATATAGCAGTAGGGGCCGTTTATGGCAGGGGGTTGGAACTAGATGGTCTTTAAGGTCCATTCCAACCCAAACCATTCTATGATTCTATAAACGTAAGTAATTTTTACCCAAACTGAACTCTGAAGTTAAGATGAGGTATGTAAAGTGCAATTGAGTTTGATATATGAATTGAGTTTGATAAATATGAACTCTTTGATCCATGCTTATGTTTTCTCCTAACAGTGTTTTTCCACTCTCCTAATTTTGGACAAACTACACTAATTTTAAGCAGAATTTATATAAACAAAATCCCAATACAATCATCACATATTACCCAAACCAAATAAGAACCATCTTCCCATCAAGAAAAATATACCTACCAACATAATAGTGATACAGTATGATTTACTTTTATCATAGCTCTTGACTCAAGAACACTGCAGTAATATATAAAGGAACACAGTGTGAGAGTTGTAAAATACAAGCAAATACAATTTAATCTACACTGGGGGATTTTGGTTTTGATTTAAATGCTAAGTTTGGTCTAAATTAACAGAGTGAGCTTTTCCTTTTCGAAAAACATTTGTGGCATTGTTACCTCCTGATCTGAAACTTCGTTCTGTAAGTATTAGGAATATAAATGTAAATGTCCAAGAGAATTTAAAATTTAATTTAGTTTCTGAAATTGAGGTAAGCACTCAATTATGCTTGACCCACTGAATGCTATCACATCTCTGCCAAGTTAACTCTATGCAACAGTTCATTACACAGGCAACTGGAGAGTTTCTTCACAGTAACAAAGAAAAACATTGAAGATCCTAGTGTCCCTAAAGAATATTTTTGAATATTAACATTGGGTGCTAAAAATACACAGCTTTGTTCATGATTTAATTCTGCTAAGGAAGAACATAAAACTGTAAAAACAGGAGTTTTCACTTTCTTCCTTCATGTAGCACTGCAACAGTTAAGCATATCTTGGGAGAAAGTTAAATTAGCATGAAAGTTTCATTGAATTTGAATCAAAATTTCACCTTGCATTTAGAAATACATGGTTTTCACCCTGAAACACCAGAGTCCCCAGCATGGCCATTAAAAGGAAACATCAGGTAATTACTTTAATAAAGATGTGCAATGGATTCTTCTCCATCTCCAGCATATGTGAAGTATCCTGCTACCAAACCTCACAACAAACACATAAGTGTTTGTGATCTTGCCTGCAATTAAGTCCAGTACCAGATTTCTCACAAGATGTTTTCCAGGATACTAATTGGTTGGGATGTTCTTGTACTCTTCATCCTCCACATTTTAGAAAAAAAAAAAAAAAAAAAAAAGAATGACAGAAGGTGCTTCTGCTGCAAGGCAGAAAAGTTAAGTTTTAATTGTCTTCTTCCTTGTGGTATTTGTGGTTGGTGACTTTCAGACTATCTAATCGAGTAAATAAGAGAAATAAAATCTAGTTGTTTAAACTTTTCCAGAACATGTAAGAATCTGACTTCAGTGACAAGGAGGTGGGGTGGAAAACTTATGAGCAACATTACTTCAAAATAAATTTTCTCTTTTAGGTCTAAAAAACACTTTCTGCTCAGGTTTTGCATCGGTTTAATTTACACTTCCCAGCAGTGGGCTAACAGAAACAGAGACTTCCCTGATTTGGAAGGGACCCAAAAGGGTCATCAAATCCAACTTCTGGTTCCATACAGCACCACCCAAAACCCAAAACCTGTGTCTGAGAGTGGTGTCCCAGTGCCCCTCAAACTGCTGCACTCAGGGCCGTGCCCGCTGCCCTGGGCAGCCCGTTCCATGCCTACCACCCTGTAGTGCAGACCCTGCCCCTAATCCCCAGCTGCCCTTCCCTGACACAGCTCCATGCCGTTCCCTTGGGCCCTGTCTACTCCTACTGCTTTTACTCATTTGTACCTATACCTGCTTAATGGAAAAGGACGCTGAGAGTGCTGTTACTGAGCGCAACACAATTTCAACATGAATGTATACAAGTTTTAAGATCCTTCACTGACGATGGGAGTGCTTAGCAGAATCTACAAACTGCCCACTCGCAGTAACAGCTTAAGGCTCTGTCAGTCCTCTCCTGTTCCTCACCATCCTTCCTCTTACTCCAGATGGCACGGCAACAGCTACTTTGATGGAGATGATTTCAATCTATAGATTGCACTACCCTAATCTAAATCAGTGTTTTATTTTGTAAAGTATAGCTTTTAGATCAATCTACGGTAGATGTGATTCTTAATGTTACTAAAGGAGATGCTATACCACAAGCTCACTGGCATCTCAGAAACTGTTGCTGTCATCCAATTCAGTTTTTACAGATTTAGCTCTCCACTGCACTGCACTCCATAAGTCTGTCTTAAGAATTAACTTGCACAGGCTTATTCTATTTCGGTTTTCGTCCTTCTAGCACCAGCAACAAGTACATCTAGTCAGACTGTAACATACCTCTCACTTTGGATCTTGGTCAGTACAAGCCAGATAACATATATTAGCCACTCAGCAGGCCAAAGGCATTTTAATGAGATTGCTCCCAGCCACATTTTCTCAAAGCACTGGCCCAATTCCTTCCTGGATTTGATGATACAACCGCTTCCCATTTCTGCCTTTTCCTGAAGAATGCTGCCAGCACCTTACTGTGTAACTTGGATGCAAGCTTAGCATTGTCAGTGTAGCAGTCAGCACTTTTATTGGCGCAGAGAGGGGAAGCACATATTACTGAACAGAAGACGGAAGCATAATGAGAGGTATGGCAGGCTAAAGGCACACTGGATCACCACTGGAATTATATTTAGATAGAAAACAGTGTTTATACATTACTGCCAAAAACAAATCCTCAAAACAAATCAACAAAACAATTACACACATACTAGCACTTTCTTGGCATGACCCATTATATTTTATCTTGTAATACATGAGATCTGTCTTTCCTAGTTAATGAAATTACCCTCCATGTGTACATACAGGATCTCTATCATACACAAGGGCTTGGAGAGATGGTGCTGTTTTGTGACTGAAAACACCAATGTAGCTGTGTAAGAAAAAGATCATGAAGCAGAATCTTCTGGAAACTATGCTAAGGTATATAGAAAGCTGTGGGGTGACTGGTGACAGCCAGCAGAGCTTCACTAGGGGCAAATAGTGTTTGACAAATGTGGAGGCTTTCTACAATAGACTTACAGCACTGATGTGCAAAAATAAGACCAAGCAACGTCATATACCCAGACTTGTGCGAAGCATTTGACACAGTCATGCACAATATTCTTATCTATAAAACAGAGAGGCACAGAGTTGACAGATGCACCAATCTGTGGGCAAGGAATTGGCTGGATCTTCACATCCAAAGAGTCACAGGCAATGGCTTGATGCTCAGGTGGAGACCAATAATAGGTGGTTTCCCTCGGGAGTCTACATTGGGACTGGTATTATTACCAAACATCTTTGTCAGTGACATGGACAGTGAGACTAAATGCAGTAAGCAAGTTTACAGATGACACTAAGCTGAGTGGTGCAACTGACACAATGGAGGGAAGGGATGCCATCCAGACATAGCTGGACATGCTTGAGAGGGAGACCCATGCAAACCTCATGAAGTTCAACAAGGCCAAGTGCAAGGTTAAGCACTTGGGTTGGGGAAATCCCAAACATGAATACAGACTGGACAATTAGTAGACTGATAGCAGCCATGAAAAGGACTTTGGTGTAGTGATAGATGAAAAAATGAGTAAGAACCAGCAACGTGTACTGATAGACCAGAAAGCCAATCATGTTCTGGGTTGCATCAAAAGAAGTGTGACCAGCAAGTCAAAGGATGTGATTCTATTCCTCTACTCTGCTATCATGAGACTCCACCAGAAGTCTGTATAAACTGTATAGACCACTGTACAGAGGTCTGGGGCCTCAAGCATAAGACAGTCACGGATCTGTTGGAGGAAGTCTACAGGAGGGCCACAAAGGTGATCTGTAGCATCTCTCTGGTGAAGAAAGGCTGAGAGCTGGATTTATTTAGCCTGAAGAAGAGAAGAAGGCCCCAGAGAGACCTTGTGTGTGGCATTCCAGTACTTAAAAAGGACTTAAGGGAAAGATGGGGAGGGATTCTTTATCAGGAAGTGTATCAGTAGCACAAAGTGAAATCTTTTTAAACTAAGAGGGCAGGTTTAGATTAGATATTAGGAAGAAATTCTTTGCCATGAAGCACTAGAATAGATTGCCTAGAGAGGTTATGGATGCCCCATCCCTGGAAATGCTAAAGGCCGGTTGGATGGGACTTTGAACAACTCGATCTAATGGAAGGTATTTCTGCCCATGGCTGAGTGATTGGAACTATATGGTCATTAAAAATCCCTTCTAAAGCAAACCATTTTATGATTCTGTGGAGATACAGAAACACTATCAGAATCTATGAAATCGTCTATTTCCAGCTCCAGAATCACTTTGAAGTTTTGTTGTTAGCTGATGCAAGTGTATATCTGCCAACTGGAGAACAGCTTTAGCAGTGCTCAGCAACACACAAAATGACTTCCGACCAGCCGCTCAGCCCTTTGGCTGTGTGGTGAAGAGGAGGGCATGGAGAGTGCTCGCCCAAACCCTGCAGTGACTCACATAGCAAAGATGGACTGAAACTATTGATGCCAGTGGGCCACTTCAGGATTCAGGATTCAGGATTCAGGATGGCAAACTGCATAATCAAACTTTTAGAAAGGGAAATATGCATAATTTTCTCAGCAATTAATTTTTCCAAGACAGATTTTCTTCCACCCACTTATTTCCCTTAATTATTTAAAACTTTCCTTATAAGGAGGCTCAAATTCATCATGTTACAGCTCTTGATAACAAGGCACATATTTCATATTTTCTGAACTTTGTGTCTATCTAATAGCTAGCATATTACCACTGCCTTTCCATCTTTGACTAGACAACTACATCCAAGATAAAGATCCACACAGCAGTTCTGCCCGAAGTGCTGTTGCTGTACTTTACTACATATGAAATTCTGTTTTACATACACGACTACATCTTCCTCGCAGTTTAGCATTTTCCTCGTTTTGTTTTTTCCTTAAATTCATGATGAACACATTTGAAACATCAATATATTTTTGGTGGCATTGCCTAAACCAAGAAAATTGCGCCACACCACAATTTTCTTTTTACTAGCTTACTTCAGAAGCACATCACTGAATTGCCACTGGATAGTCAGGCTTTCAGATCTCTTTTTGTAGTTTCAGACAAATTTGTTGCTTTCTTTTAAATAACCACTTTTTAATAAAGGTAATAAATTTTAAGTTTTAGAGGAAAAATCATCAGAATATTTTCAGCTTTCTGATTTGCTCTACAAAGCTTACTTTTGTAAATAGAAATCTGGAAAATATACACAGAGTAGCAATATTGCAAGAAAAACAACTTCTCTCTTTACCTTTGTTTCTGCAGGTTGGTCTTGTTTGATCATTTCCTCGTTCGGTTCTTCTTCCACATTAGTATTAATTTCATTGTCAGATGGGAGCAGTGTATCACTGCTTGGAGTCCTGTAGCAGCTGTTAAGTACTGATCCTTCATAGGAAGTTGTAGTTTCCAGAGAATCCCTGGATGTGCTTATTCTTTCTCCATTTATCAAGCTGCTGTTGATAGAATTATCTGGAACCAGGATGGACACTGTAGAATCTCTGCCAAGTATCCTTCTGTCCTCACGTTCCTGGTCTTGTGCTACTACTCCATTGGCTGTGTGTGTCTGTGCAACCTGAGTTTTGTCGGTATTACTGTTTCCCTGTTTTAGCAGTGGGTGTTGGGAGGGGAGTTTTGGCTGAGGTGGTGGCGTTGACCCATATCTTCCGTGAGATTTAGAGACATTGAGAGCAGAGGAATCTTTCTTCAAGTCAATAGGACTGAATGGGCTAAAAATACCAAACAAGCAAAACACAGGAAAAAAAAGTTAAACAGTGTTACAGAAAACCTCTGTTATGGGGAGGAGGACAGCTAGACCGTATAAACAGTTCCTCCAAACTATTTCTTCCAGCATTAATACCAGGAAGTTTATTCCATCAATACTTAAACTTTTCCATTAAAACACAAAAATGTATCTCCTCCCAGAAAAGCTGCAGTGGTATCCGTATCGATTCACTCCATCCTCATCTCTCCTGTATCTCAGTTTTTAAAAGGAAAGGCAGTATCATTGACTACATGCAGGAGATGAGGAACACATGCTACAACCTGCCCCAACTATCCCAGAAGACTACTAACAGAAATGGGGAAAGCATTTTTGTCTGCCAGATTCTAGCCCAATGCCTAAACAGGGAGCCTGTTTCCTAACTGCCTGCTAAGAATGCATGAAAAACATCTGAGAACAGTTAGCATCCCTTCCCTTAAATCAGTTTTCCTTGTATTTCCTTCAAGATTCATCTCTTCTGGAGGCTTTTTCCCTGCATACTTTATCTCAGCTTTGAACATATGTTATCCCTCGTTTGTACCTTTCACTGTCTCTTTCTGTCAGATTTTTGAGAGTTTGAATTTTAAGATAATATACATGTTAGCCCACTCTGTAGAAATGTTTGGCTCTATTACAGCAAATAGAAAAAAATTCACTGAAACCACAATAAAACTTAAGCATTTGGATTTTAAGTACATTTATCAAACCATATTCAACCTGAAAAATAGAAACATGACTGTGCTCTAACACACAGTTCTTAGTATGGACTATTAATCTACAAAGAAGTTGATGATTAGTTATAAACTGTATATTTACTACTTATTTATAGGATGGTTTACACAAACACTGCAAGCATATTCTGAACTTCTATACATTTAAGACAAAAAATATATACTCATATAACAAAGGAAGTAAATAATTTCTTACTTAATTGTGTAAAAACTGTACCATTAGAAATCAACTCTCAGAACACTGAGAAACTTAACTATGAAATTCATTCACATTTTTCCACTGCATGCATATAGCACAGTGGTTTAATTACCTGGTTGGTTTTTTTTCTTGTGGACTATACAGACTAATGAAAACATGTTATCATAATTGGCAGTCAGAGTTTGCACTTCATGAACACCTAGACATTTGAAAACCAATAATTACAAGTGAAGTTCACCTTCATGGAAGACTCAGTCTGCGAGGTAAGGTTATTTTAAAAATGTGCACCCAGGCACAGCATGCTACTAGGCATGCTACAGCAGAGAGCAGAGTTTTGAAGAGAATTTATCAGTAGACAGATATTCTTTGGTGTACTTAATGAATAACGTTAGCCAAAATAGCCATTCAGCTTCTCCCACACCTAACTCCCCCCAAAAAGCCCTTATGGTCTACAAGAAAAAGTTTTTGCAGCTTTCTTGTTGAATTTATTTGCATACTATTTAAAGAGGGCCAGTCCAATCCAGCAGGTTTGGATAATAGGAAGAAATGTAGGGCTTAATGGCATGAGGGCACAATGAACTTGTGGAACACTCTTTCAGAAAAACAAAATCACAGAAGGCAGTGTTTCTATGGACAGGGAGATTCCAAGCAGCAGCTCACATCCTTCAGGACAGAACATCTTGATGTCTTTATATTGGTCTTTATTTGTCAAAGGCAGAATTTTAGGGAAATTCTTTTTTATGCTTCTTATTCTCCACCTCCACAAATGCAATCAAAAGCTAACTGCTCAGTCTTAAAGATCATAACCAACCAACCAAAAAAACTAAAAGCACACAGTATTGTATCTTATTTGAGAACTTTTTGTTAGTTAACAACTACTAGAAAGAAGGATCAAAGAGGTAAGAATGTTTTTCTAGGGTCACTACAGTGTTAAAAAGACTTGGACAATGTTTTGGAGGAAGAACAAGAAACACTGATAACAAGACTAGGAACTCAAACTAGTTTAATTCACAGGACCTTCAGTGCTGCCTTACAGGTTTTTTTTCCCCACTTTTCTGTAGTTGCCATGACAGCAAATGAAATTAAGCCTGTGCAAAATGATGGAAGTTTCTTGTAGATGAAGCTCTGAAATTATTTCTATTCCATTAAACAAACCTATTTATGCAACACTCAGCTGTCTCTGCATAAAAAATTAAGTTTCCTCCATCTCAAGGAGGAATTCTTTCAGTGAAAATCTTAACACTCAACAGTTTTGTTAGGACCCGCTCTGTTGTACCTCACACATTCAGCCCTGTATGAGCCTCAAAACATCGGTGTCCTGAAGAAAAAGAAGAAAGCAATGTCCAATACTTGTAAAACTCCAGTGCCACTGGACTGTTTCCTGAACTGTTTCTCTGTCATGGGATTTCTGGAATGTCACTCTCTTTATACAGAACAGATGTATTCAGAACTTCTGTTTCAGAGCTTATAATCCTTGTCATATGCATCCAATTAAAAGGCACACAAGAAGTACTACTTTGTGAACTAACTGTATCTCGTGTTTCTCCAAGTCTTTCTTGTAAAATGTAGTATAAAAAGTAAGGAAGATTCATACATTCGACTAAGATCACCAAGTACTACAATGCAAACAGTTTCATGGATACATGCCACATCAGTACATCTAACTTGCTTCACGTGAATAATCTGAAGACTTTAGGTCAGTATAAAAGGCAAGTCAGGACTTTCCTTTTTATAGGTAAATAGAGAAATGTGGGTGGGTTGTTTTTTTTTTTCCTGCAAGAACAAAAGAATTTAGGATTCACTCAAAAGTTTCATTCCAAAATCAAATTGCTGATGTTTTCCAGGATGTTTTAAAAATGCTGCAAGTAGCGTGTGTTTTGGGGTTGGTTTTTGTTTTTCTGTTATTTGCTTGTTTAAAAGCAAAATTCAGATTGGCGCCTCATTAAAATGAACAGGCCTGTGCAGACCAAATACACAACTGCATCATTTCAAAACATGCTGTTTTGTCGTCAGCTCCTCTGGCAGAGACAGGTTTGAGCACTACCACAATATCCGTGTTCTTCTTCCTACAGAACCACGAAACAATTAAAATCACATCACATACCTGCATCCCTCAAAACGGTGGATGAGATCTGACACTTTACTGGACTTTTCTTTTGTGACACTAGAAACAGGAGTAGGTGTATCTTCCTCCATTCTTGGCTTCGAACTTGATAAAGCTTTATGCCTAGAGGTTTGGTATGTAACAGGTGATAGCTTCTGCAGATGAAGTGGCTTTGGAGGCACTGCAAACAATAAGAGTGATCAGCTAGTTGGCAACTGTTTCTTTAAACTGTCAGAAAACATGAGATCTTTAGCGTAAGAAGTTATCACAGAAACTATTTATTTGATGTACTTAGCTTTAAATTGCTTTATGAATTCAGGAACTTCATGTAAGCTTTTATGTGCTGTGTTGTATCAAGCATCTTCTTATATTATTAAATTATATAAAAGCCAAACCACATGCTACTGAAGCTAAAGTATTAGGATCACTCTCCCTTCCATTTTATCTTTTTTTTTTCCCCCCTTTGGTGTTCTGTAGTAAACTCATATGTGGCCTCTACAAATGCAGATTTTATCCTAAAAAAGCACCGAGCGTAAGATCTAACCATGTTGTGGAAGTCATGAATCTTTCCTCAGGAGAGACTTAAACTGCTGCTCCACTCTGGTTCCCTCATTATCTTCTCCCTCACTACTTCAAAAATGATTGTCAGCGGAAAAGAAAGATTTGCCTTCAGCTTCAATCTTTGTCTGTGTATACTGCTGAAAATCTGAGTCCCCCAGAATATTTTTTTCTTTCTTCTTTTTGGGTATCTTGACTATAAACTCTTGTTACATTGTTAACAATCAGCCCTTGTTTAACAGGGTAATGACTAGAAGACAAGTGATTCTGTGACTAGAAGACAAGTCATTGCCTGTGGCAGTAACAGCTCCTTGAGCTCCACAGGCAGCACACAGGTGCAGAGCTTGCAACTTCCCCCCAGCAGGATGATCTCACATGGCAGCAGAATTAGCACTGATAAAGGATGCTCAACAGATGGATGGGAAAAGGCCATATCTATCATATCACTGACCCAAGATAGGCTTCCTGACCTAGCCTGTAATACCTATGCACCATAGGAATTAGGTTAAACCCTGCCAACCAAAATTTGAAAGTGGTAATAAAAAAGGTTATTGCAAATATACTATCACAGATTATGACATGGATGTACGATGTTGATGGAACACTTGATTTAGGATGACTTTTCATCCATATCTTAGATTAAATTTATAGGAAGCAATATTTGTCAGTGCTTCCAATAACCAAACTGTACTTAGAGATTGCAGTGATAGCTGCATTCTGCAAAGTATCATGAGAGGCACAATGAAGAAATTAATGTAACACATTTCAACTGTATTAACTACAAACGAGAGAGAAGAAAGGTGTTCAAGGCCAGGTTGGATGGGGCCCTGAGCTGCCTGGTCTAATATTAAATGTGGAAGTTGGTGGCCCTGCCTGTGGCAGGGGGGGTTGGAGATTCATGATCCTTGAGATCCCTTCCAACCTGGGCCATTCTGTGATGCTGTGAAAGGAAAACATTATAGTTCAAATGCTTTAATGTAAGCGCGTGTATCTTTGTTTCTTTCCAACTTTCTTTGTATTTGTTAACACAATGAAAAAGGAAGTCTGGATAAGGATGCAGTGCAGAAACAAAACTGAAAGTATTGTTATTTTCAAATAGTTACAAAGCAATACCGAAACAAGCAGAACATAAAATTGTGTAAGTGCTGCAGTATGCCAACGGAAGCCCTTCTGATGGAGCTGTGTGCATTTGTTCAGCTGCAGCTGCAATATTGTGGAGCAGTTTCTCCTACACTCTGCCTTCCTAGGGAGCCCTGAGAACTCCTGGCAGAATTAGGGCAACGAGCATCACCGAGCTGTCAAAGCGCTGAATAGGTTACTGCACTGACAAAGGCAGCGGGACAGCTGAAAAATGCGAGACAAGCGGCCTGGGAAAAGCAGGCCACGTAACTGAGTGTAGGCATTGCCATTCCCTCAGGGTAGGAGACAGATGGGAAACAGGACATCGGGTGGATTTACTGATCAGCAGTGGATTGGCTTCTGGCTCTTGCAACACACTGGGCAGGGCCTGTGGTTCTGTGTGTTCTTACTTGATGGACTCGTATATCAGTTCTTTCGTACATCTCACAAGAATTCATATCCACACAAGGATCTATTAAAACTACTAAACTTGAGGGAGTTCACATCTACTAATTAAGCAGAAAGAATTAGTTCAAAGCTATTTTTGCACCGAATCCACTGGGACAAAAATTAAATTCTAAGACATTTCATAGAAGGGCTGCACACTTTTGTATCCATTACTAATAAAAAAAGGAAAGAAAAGAACCACCAAAGTAATAGCAATTCAGTACTGCAAGTGCAAGGAACCTCCAGTCAAACTGGATTACACCAGTATATTGAAAATTCCTTTGAGATCTTCAGAAGAGAACCACAAACCAAACAGCCATATCAAATCCTGAGTTTAAGTTATATTCTTTTTGTTTTTCTATTACTGTCTAACAGGCAGGATTTCCCCCTAATCAGCTGCTGCTATAGCTGCTGTTGGTTTTAGAAATAGAGCAGTGGGAAAAAGACAGTCACAAGATCAAGGAAAAGAAAAGCATCAGTAGTATAAAAAGCCCCTGTAACCCTTCTGTAAGGTCAACATTGTTAACAGGGATTATGGAAAACAAATTGCATTAATACTTCCCTCAATGTACTTCTGAAGTGCTTTGTTTTAATCAGATTATTTTTCAGTGTGCACACGGCAAGGATCTTAAAGAAAAAAAATGAGAGAAGACTGGAGCATTGTAATACACTGTATAATGCAGAGCTCTGTTCAAGTCTATAAATACTCTTGTCTCTCTGCTGTAGAATTTTGAGCTTATTAGGAAATCTGAACAGCATATTCTGCCTAGAGAAAACCCTTCAGTATATTCAGGTAGCAACTACTGTAATATGCTAGCCAAAATGTGCAATTAAGGTTTAAGTTGTAGTCCCTAACATGCATTCAACTTTGTACATGCATAAGCAAACGGGAGGTAATTTGAGAGACACCTAAATGTTGCACCAAATAGGTGCAACAGCTTCAGCCGGTGTCAAGGTATATTATCAAAGGCCATTTATCACTTCTCTTGGAAAACACCTATTCATTACCCCTCTATGCATTTAAACTATGATGGTTAAAATGCTGTTAAATATTAATTTAGTGAAAATACAAAGCCAAAAGTTTCTGTGATAAGTAATTGCAGCTATTCTGTCTCAATCATCCTGCATTGTCACTTACATGTGGACCAAATAAGTGCAACGGGACAGACGCCAAAGACTGACACTAGCAAGAAAAGTACAAAATAACCAGTAACCTAGGCTCAGCAGAAGATGGTAAAAAAGATAGCTCTTATTTAGGATATGCATTTCCACCTTTTTATGTAACAAATATCTTTCAATTACATAATAAGAAATAAGGTCAATTATAATCAAGTGTGCTTTCTTCTCTCATTTATCCTCTTTCTGTAAATAATATTTGAGATTGAGCATTTTTGTTGCTAAGAGAGATATTGCTACAGGTTTCTTAAATCACTGTATATTTTGAGAAATCTAGCCAGAAACAGCTCTCAGATTCAATTCAGTTCACCTTTAACTGTAGAAGTTTCATTTGCAAGAGAAACAGTCTACACTGCAGACCTGTGAGAGATTTTCAGCTTTTATGGGCCCAGGACACTGAATACCTCAAAAAACATGGATAAAATTATAATTATTTGAGAAAGGAGGGCAGGACTGATGCTCCTGAGTAGATGTACTACAGCAGTTGGTTTCAGTTAACTAAGTGCTGGAGATATGTCTATGCCATTTCATAATAGAACAGAGCAGGCCATCTTCTGAAGTGGCACATCATCTCCAACACTAACAAAGATGTCTCTGGCATCAGTAAGAGATTCACAAGTACTCTTCAGTGCTCATTAAAAAAATCTAAACGAGCAACTGATGCAGTTGCAGTCTTCAACTGACAAGTCACTTCTCTGCTTTAAGGAAGCGTTAACATTTCAACATATTTTCCACCCCACAATAAAACTGGCAGCTACAGTCAGTACTTTTAGTGCCTAATATTTAGTAATTGGACATCATATAAAACCCATGTAAGAGGTTCTAAACATAGGAAATAGAAGAATATAGGAAAAATAATTACTTTGTTCACGTCACTCCACATGCAGTCTGCTATAGCTAGGTTCTGATCATTGCCCAAGTATTTGTAAGTGCAAATTTCATTTTATTTTTTTTTTAGCAGTTTGTTTCATTTCCTCACACATCACATTTGCCTCAGAAGACATTAGCATATTTTGCTCTTTCCACTGACTACCTCCAGTCTGGATCAGCCCCTTTATCAGACAACACACCATAGGGAAGCGATGGCAAAGCACCTTATGTCACAGCTGCTACAGACTGCACTTCTCTGCAGACACAGTTTCCTTGCTAAACTTCATCATCAGTTGTTATTCATTCTCTGTCTTTGCTCCAAATTTGCAGACTTTCACAAAACAACCAACACTCAAAGAATTTCAACACTTGAATTGCTAAATTGTTGACGGAAGGAATTACTGAGGAACAAAAATTGCTCTTTCATTGTCAGCGTATCACACAGCTAGTTTGTTTTCTCCTCTAAATGCCAGGAAAAAATAAAAAAAAATAAAAAAAATAAAAAAAAGAAAGAATTTCATATTGGATTCTCTGCAGAAATGTATTCCCTTGCTCTAACTGCCGCAAGTGATCTGTTTTCAAACCACTTCTCAGCAACCAAGTAGAGGCCAAAACAAGGTCAGAGTCTGCGGTTCACTGCAAGTGCAAGATTTTGTAAATTCTTCCTCTATATAGAAGTCAACCTTATTAAAAATGCCCATACTTTGCTTATAATGCAAAGTGGTCTTTATTTCTCTCATTTTGATTGTATACATTTTCGTGAGTTTTGAAAATCATTTTGCAGTTCATCTACAATCAAACATATGGGCATTGCAATTCAGGTCTGTAATCTTATTTCCTTGTATTACAAAATGACATTTAGTATTTGCATGAATAGAACAACAATTTGGAAAATCATTTCTTGCTAATATAAAACCGAAATCGCTGTGCAATTGTACCTAAATAATTGTTAAAAAAAAAAAAAAGAAGAAAAAAAAACACCTTTGATTTTTTTTGGTCTCCCAAAAGCTGATTTCATTTTTGTCTGTTGTCTGTTTTGCTTTGCTTCAATTAAACAAAATGCTAATAAATACTCTATAGCTAACTGTTTTCTTGCTATCTTTATTACCAACAGGTTTGTTCTGGAGAAGAACCATTGAAAAAATAGCATTTTTGTTCAGCCATTCAATCTGTATATTCAAAGTGCTCACAACATACTATCTATAACTTTGATATGCTGCACACCCTTAGTAGGGACAACCAAGGAAAGGCACAGACCCAGGAACAGGGCATGCACAAACTAATTATTATTGTATAAAATCTGAGCAGCTGCATTTCTTAGTCTACTGCATGATTTCTACCTACATTGCTTTTTGATGAACAAAATAGTCACGGCTACAGAACAGCAACAAAAGCAGCATACAGACTTGAATGAATGAATATGGTCCAATATTTTCCAGCTTCTAATTTATCTAACAGCTAAAACTTACAGTAAGTGGACTGGTTTTAGTTTTGAAAAGTTTAAGTCTTCCCATTCATTGCCTAATTTTCTTTTAAAATATATTTATTGGGAAGAGCATGTGCTCCTTTACTAACTTATCTTTAGGTAACTGCTTTTAAGAGCCCTGGGAAATGGTCAGAAAGATCACTTCAGATAAGTGGTGTTTATATATAACTGCCAGTATTGTTCATTAGACTGAAACGTTTTATCAAAGGTTTAGTAAAAACAAAAAGAACAAGAAATACACATTTATTTTGCTTTCATTCACTGTAAGTAAACAAAGCTTTTGTGGCACCCCAGCAAAATCTCTTTCCCTCCTTAAGATGAATTAAGTACTAATACAAACTTTTTCAAGATGAATTTTCCCACAGATTGATAGACAGATATTTATATCCCCTACGTGAAAGTTCTACATAATTTTCATCTCTATACATGACTTAGATGTGACCTAGTTTTCTGTAAGTCTCTAGCTTACACCATATCAGCACTGTGTCTCAGAATCCAATTTGTTGAGTAGAACCATCATATTAGTCTTCAAAACTGTCTCTTTTTTACCTTTTGAGATGAATGAAGTTTCTACTGTACATCACTCCTAAAAGACACCGGACTAGAATTCAAGATTTCCAGAACATACAGGCCCTTTGTTATGATCAACCTCAGCAGAATCATCAATATTATTCAGGAGACCAGATAAGAATTGTTTGAGGTTTAGGTATATAATCTCGATGTGTAGGTCAGAAATCTATCCATCTTGTAATATTAAAAATACTATTTATGTACAGGAAGAAGGGAAATCAACTACTCTGCAGACATACTGGAGAGCTTTTACTGTGCAAGTCAAGTGCTGAGTTCTCATCTCTTTACACATAGTCCCACTAGAAGACTGCAGATGAACTCAGCTGGAATCCCAGAAGTTCTGAATTTCCTTCCTGTCATGAAGTCAGCCAGACAATAGCTTAATACAAACAAGAGGCTTACATGTGTTCTCACATCTTGGGCACAGAAAGAATTTCACATTACTTACCTGGCAGTAAACACACAGCAGATTGCTAGACAATTGTGATGCAAGTACAGAGGTATATCTGTACCAGTTGTTCTTTTTAAAACCACAGTAGTTACTAAGCCTAACCTTTCTTCTAAGAATCTTTTTCAGTGAAATATTAATTTATCAGATTCAAAACATTCACAGGACATTTGTATTTCTGCGGCCATCATTTACCCCACTATTTTCTCTGTGAGAAGCACAGTTCTTTCAAAATGTTCAATTTCTATGAAAGCATGAGCTGAAGCACAAATTACCTCACCAAAGTATTTCAGACTACTTACCTTGTGGCTTTGGATTTGAGGCTGAACGTGGGGACTGTTTGACTGGCACGCTTCCATTTATTCCCTGAGCCGCTTCATTGTGTACATTCTGCTCAACTAGCCTGGTTGTGGCACTTGCTGGATGAGATCTAGACAATATTAAGGATTTTGTACAGACGCTGTTGCCTGAAAAATATATTCAAAAAGTGAGTTAGAAATAGAATTAAATGCACGGTAAAATGATTATATACGCGTATATTAAGTGCTACTGCCTCCCTACAGAGAAAATTAGAATGCTTGTCTTCACTTTGAAGCATCGCATTGTAAAAACAGAGACTGCCTTCCACTGAGATGCATTACATTGTTTAAATCTCAGAGTTGCATACATAAAAAAATATATAAAAACCTATCCCAGGTTATTCTAGAGAAAGCTTACGATCTCTAACCGTCTTCTTGCTATCTTTATTATCAACAGGCTTGTTTAGGAGAAGAACCACTGAAAAAATAGCATTTTTGTTCAGCCATTCAATTTGTGTACTCAGAGTATTCACAAAATACTATACATTCAAAACGTTTCTTTTTCTTTCTTTTCAAGAGCTACTAATTACACCATCAAAAATGAAAGCAAAGCAAAAAGACAGTTGACATTTCTATTTCATTTTGTCTTAGCAGAGTGGAGTTTATTTTACCTGAGAAGGCTAATAAGATGCCATTTGTAAGAAAACTGGATGAACAAATAAAGGAAAATATATCTGAATGACAGAAATTGTAGTAAAAGCATGTATTAGAATGGGCCTAGACTATGCACTTTTGGATGTATGTGTGTGTGGAAGTTTTTCATTCTAAATGTAATTAAAAGATTTAAAATACTACTGTGAAGGAAGTTGCTATCTCAATTAAGTTAATGTTCCTTCATCTCTAAATCAAATAAATCCACAACTTTGTTTGTGGGAAGGAACAAGGGATGGGAGAAACATCCACTTCTCATTTATTGCAGTGTTGCCTTGATTATTTTCATTTAAAAAAAAAAAAAAAAAAAACCTATGGTAGACTTCGAACACTTACATTTATTGTTTTCCTTTGCCATCATTTTTATCTTTATCTTTGCTTGCTTCTACTGACAGAAATGCAAGTATAGTCGGGGTTTTGTTTACTCATTTCCAAAAAAACAAATTCAAAACCCAGCCAACCATTCATTTCATAAGGCAATCCTCTGCTGTCTTCTAAACGACTGATCTGCAGAGTCTGGAAGCACTGATCTAATGCATCTTCCTATCCCAAGGCAAAATCCATTATATCAAGCCATTCCCAGCAACAGCCAAGCACACTCATTAAAAAGCAGCGGAAAGAGATTCCAGAGCTATTGCTTACCATTGTTTAAAGGCTCTTCAGCACCACGTAGATTGCAACAATATTTTAAAGTACTTATGTTTTATTTCTTAGAAGCTTAATTTCTTTTTAAACGCTGAAGTAGCACTGCACCAAGAAGCTGCTTTTGCAAACACAGAGACTTGCAGCAGTTTTTGCTGAGATCAACAACCCACCCAGCCAAGGCTCTGGTACTCATATCACAACATGCATAGGACATCTGGGGCTGCAACCTGGCATCACTCCCTCTTCCATCATTCAGTAAGCAATGCCATCTCCCGAAAGTAAAGGTGGCTGGTGCCAGAATAATTATTTAATGAGGCCCACTGCATGTGGACACTTCTCAGACACCCATGATCTCAGGCAGAAATTCTTCAGCTCTGTTTCCTTGGGTATCTCCATACACAAAATGCCATCTTGTACTATAGCAATAGGAACTCTGCCCCAGATCTTTCCCCATTTCATAAGGATTCACCTGAAGTGCCATTCCTGCCTCTCCACATAGAGTGGAGTATTGAAATTTCTTGGACAGACAAAGGAGATGGCACAAGCCACGTAGGAGCAAGTCCTCCTGATGCTCATCAAAGAGTTGAATTTCTCTCCACCACAGAATCCCATATCATATTGTAACTGCTCACACTTTAACTTGGAAATCTCCAATTTAGAAACAATTTTAAGAAACAACAACTCCTGGCAGGATCAGTACATCCCACACATTGTGTAGGCAATTGAACATATGTTAGAAATCTACATTCAGATCAGGCTTCTAACTCTGCATGACATCCTAGAGCTTTATGAAAACTGTTCAGATTGTAGATTTGACAGATAACACACTTCTTCAGGACTTCAAGTTCTACAACTGCAGATCAGTAAAAAGGGCATTGCTAACTGTCCAGGCCAAACCTGGAAATCTCCATCAAAATTGTACCTTTGTAATTTATTGAAAAGATTCTCTAAGAAAGCAAGGTACTGCCAGGGTCAGAATGGGAATATTCTTTCCATACACAAACTTATCACAGTGCTTTGTCTTGTTTTAAGTTAACACTCACAATCAGATACAGAGCTAAAGAGTTGCTAAAGAGGGCAATTCCGTTCTCTGCTTCTCACCTTGTCACCATTAAGTCTGGTTTCCTCTCCTGGCTACTTCCCACCCCAGGCTTGGAGGGAAGCACCAGCACTTGTACAACTACACAGTGAGACAAGCAGTAGAAATGATACAACAGTAAGATGGATTACACAGATGGGGTGAGTGAACCCATGGCCGCTCCAGCACTGCTAGCTGGCATAAGGGAAGAGGTAGGAATACAGCTGGCCTTCTTTAACAGCCCTTACTTACTATCTTCAATTCACTCTTGTTTGCGTGAGCCATTATACAAGCAATTCACTCTATCTAGAAGGCGTATTTGCTACAGACTGACACACCACAAACATTTAAGACACATTCTGAACTTGTAATTCTGTTAACCATCTCACATCCTCAAATCAAACAATTTTGAAGAGTAATATAGCCATAACAGGATAAATAAAATATGTTCAGCTTCCTTCACATGGAAAGCTGGAATGGAAAAAGGTAATCTAGCTACAACATGCTTCTAAGCAAAATCAAGAAGTTACATTCTTTGGACAAAAAGCATTAACATCCCTGGCAATCTAAATCCTGGTTTCTTGTCAGTGAAAGTTAATACCTTCCAGGTGATGTAGGCAAAAAAGAATTGTCAAAAATACAGGAATATTCACTACAGATATGCATCTAGTAGCAAAGGCTTGGAAGTATATTATAAGCAAAGTTCCAAATACATTTATTTCAGTGCATACAAAAAACACCAAATGCTCCACAAGCAGTCGCCTGCATTTCATAGAATCATAGATGTTGGAAAAGATGAGTACAGTTAAAAAGATTTAGTTCAAACACCAACCTATCCCCACACCATGCCCACCTACCATGCCCCTTTATGCCATATCTACAATCTACATGTTTCTTGAACACCTCCAGTGACTCCATCTCCCCCCTGGGCAGCCTGTTCCAATGCAGGACCAGCACTTCATCTTGTTAAAGCTCATTCATATTTCAGTAGGGCTATTCAATTCTGTCCATTTAAGCAAGCATTTAAGTAAGACAGTCTATACTTTAGAAATGCAACAACAAAGCAACTTAAAATCCAATTACATATACAAAATGCGAGACATGCTGCAAAAGCTTACAGATTCTGCTGAGCTGAAATAGGTTTCTACTGTAGTTGATTCTGATCTGATTAAAGGAGCACTCACGTGTTGCTGTGGTTATATGTGTTACAATAACTGAGATATTGATTGAACTCAGAAATGCAATGAGCAACAAATTACTAGCCAGTTCCTGTGTTCGTTCACCAGTACATCACTAATTCTGCCTCTTGTAATTGGGAATGATTAGATACCCTGAAGTGAAGGGAGGGATTTTAAAACTTTTTAATGGGTTCAAGCAAGAATGCAAGTGATAAAGCAGAGGTAATAAATAACTGGCAGAAAAGATAAACACTCCAAATTTGATAAGCACTTAATTGTTTTCATCATAATTTGCAAGAAAACTGGAAGATGTTTGAAGCTAAGAAGCATTATCTAATTTTCCAGAGCATTTTAATTAAAAGTAACTGGAAGCCATGAATATTTAGCCAGCTTGAAATGCCAGTAACATGAAAAAATTGCTTATTTGTTTTTACAAGAGATTAAAATAATATTTTGATATTGCATAGGTCCGCTATCAGCAGTCCCAGCTTCACTAAGACAGGCTAAACACCATTAGATTTTCTGTCATATCTGTTTTACTCCTACCATCTGTACTTATCCATCACCACTTAATTTTTTACTTCCACTGTGATCTTACTCTTACATTCTGAATGAAAGAAATGCAGCACTTCTGTATGTAACCCTAGCCTATGAGGGAAAGGGTTATTCTCCTGTGACTGTTAAGAGGCAAAATTTAAGTCTCAAAATCAGGTTTACTTCTTTTCAAATGATGTAACTATATATGCAACCAGTGTGTTAAGTTCTCAGGATAGCCGCCAGAGCCTTGATGTGATATTGCCACACTTTCTCATGCAGCATCAAGGCAAAGCTTCACTCTTGCTACTCACCCTCAACACATATGGAGGTGCAGCTAATATTCCCCCTACTGAACTTGTAACAAAAACATCAGTTTAGCCACAGTAATCTTGTCTTACAATCTCCTGGTCAGTTCAAAATAGCGCTAAGTAGCACTAATACTTAAAGAGATTCATTCAACCCTTCACTCGTTCACTAAACACTTGGGGAACTGTAGCAAGGACAGTACGAGGACGAGCAGTTTTCTGAGTACAGACAAGTAGGCAGCTAAAGAACTCTTGCACAAGAACTTACAATAATAGATTTGTTGAGGCCTGAGCAGGAAATCTAGTAAATCAGACCATGGATTTTACCCACAGCTATGCCCAAACCTGCCCTCAAAAATAATTTTCTAAGAACTTACGTGGTACCTACTACTCATGGGTTTGTCCTCTTTGTGAGGAACACATACCAGACAACGAGATGTATGCTACTAATTGCACACCCAAACATGTTTTAGGAACAACTGCTTAGACTAACCCAAACTATGTACATTAGGAGTATGGAAGAAAGTAGGAAGTCTGGAGGTCTAAGTTACTCTCATGAAACAAAAACAAAAAACAAACTTTTGCCAAATTCTATTGAATGCTATCCTCTCAAAGTAATTACACATATGAGTTTGGATACATTTTCCCCTTTCTCATCAAAGTGATGATAGAGTTGTAAATGCTTTGCAGCTTTAGAACTGGACAAAAATTTCA